AGGTGTCCCCCCCCCCACAAGACCCTGGCTGCTCTGAACACTAGTAGAATTAGAGAGGAGAGAAGTTAAATGTCACTACATTCCACATAAGGTGACGCTGAGACCTACAGAAAAGCACATGGGTGTCAGCAAAGACAACCCAGGCACAATGTCACCAGGAAGAGCCACTGTGACCCTGCAGGTCCTTCACTGTGGCCCTCCTCTAATTCTCACAACTGGCATCTGGTAGACACCATGCTCCTCTCACTGACCAATCTCAGCACAGGACACAGTAGAATATGCTGGAATGGAAGCCTGGGTAGTTGAGAGTTTTGGGGAGACTTTCCCAAGCCTGTCAAAGGCCCCTACAGGGATCCCTGTGGTGGGAAGCCCCTGCTGCCATACTGACCTCCTTTGGGGACACCCATGGCGCTCAGGTCCCAGACTCCAGATGCAGGGGGTAGAGAGTTGACCCGTGAACTTCCCAGGCTAGGCAGCAAAGTTCAGACAACTTTCTCTTAGCACCACATGTGACCTCCATGCTGAGGACAGTGGATGACAACATGAGCCCTTCAAGAGGTGCCCACCGACTGCAGGGAGAAAACAGAAGTACAGGAGCTGGCAGGGTCAGGAGGTGCAAATGCCTCTGGCCGAGTGACTGGATTAGCTGGGTGGAGGCAGACTGTAGCCAAGAAGAATTTCACAGGGCTGAGGGGATGGTGAGCTAAGCAAGCATGTGGGAAGGACCCAGCGAGGACCCTAGAGCACAGGGTTTACCGATAGGAATGTTGGAAGACAGTGCAGAAACGGAAGGTATTGAGGGGGAAGTGAGGAGGAATGCCACTGTCTCGTATGCGGTGGGTGCTGGTGGTGTTTGAGTGGGGGCTGACTTGAAGGAAAGCAGCAGGTAGGGATGATATATTGGGGTGCTATGCTACACACAAGGATTGCAGGCTTTGGGGTAAAATCTACTGAGTTGAGAGGAATGGACCAGAAACTGTTGTGATTCAGAATCTAGACGCCTAGACCTTGGACGAAGGTATGTATGGGGATATGGGGAGGGGGGAGTTTTGAGAACAGATATATGAAATAGTAGAAAAGATTCCATGGAGTTGGGTATGGTAGTACATGCCTGTAATCCCAACATCCAGGAAGTGGATGAGGGGGGCCAGGGGTTCAAAGTCAGCTTCAGTTGCATAGCAACTTTCTGGCTAGCTTGGGTTACAAGTGTCAAACCCAAAACAGGGGGAGAGGGAGTCCCGTGGGATTTGGTTGCTTGTTTGCTATGAGAAATTGCCAAGCCTAAATGACCAAGTGGTACCAGTATACTTTGTAGATGAGTACATTCATCCACCACGACCATCAAGCAGTAGAAGTAGAGGGGAATCAATGGATACCGCGTAGCTCCTGTCTTCGCTCACTTTTGGCTCTTCTAGGAAAGGGTTTCAGAGCTGCCAGAGATAGAGCACGGGGCTTGGAGTGTAGCTCAGTGGAAGAATGCTTTCTACCATTTGTGAAAGCAAGGGTGTGTGTGCAAGAATCAACCATGGAGGCGGCAAACAGACAGACGGAATGATACACAGGAAAGACCACTCCCTTACTAGCTTGCTTCCGGCTTTGTTCTTTATTCACCTTCTCAGGAATTCTCAAACTAACCCAAGGAGCTCTGACAGGCGTGCCAGGCCTAGATGCTCAGGGGGACTTGGCTCTCTCTAACACTCCAGGACTCCTGGATGGCTCATCCAGGGCACCAAGTAGACAGGTAGACAGATGGGCCGAAGGAAATCTTGCTGGGGACCAAGGTCTAGGGTTGGGCTAGGGATCCCCCTGTGCTCTGTCTGTCAGAAAACTGAGCGAGAACAAGGACCTTTGTTGTGACTTTGGACCAAGAGGAGATTTGGGGGCACAGGTGGGGGAATTTATTGCTGACTGTGCAGACTGTGATAGGACCGGGAGGTCCTAGAGATGGGTGGACAAAGCCGTGGGGACAGGTCAGGGCTTGAATCCTGAAGCCTCGCGTCACCTGCCAGGGACGGTGATTTGAGATCATGGTTCAAGTTCATTCTTCCTTCTAGTAAAGTTAACATTGGTTCCCCTCAAACAGATTTATATTCTCATCTCAACTACGCTAGGAATAATGAGCTAGCACATGAATGTAGAGGAACATTTTCTAGTTAATCAAATTATGGCTATAGACACTTGATTCAGAGGAGAAATGTTTTATTTTATTTCCTTTAAAGAATAGCAGAACCGGGGTTATATTTTTGGGTCACAAGGGCTTTCTCTTGTGTCCCAGGCCAGTTTTCCTTTCTGTCATTAATTAATAACTATGGACTTTAGACCAGAACGATTCTGATTTCTTTCAGTGTTAATTTGAATTTTATCTTCAGAGCCTTGAAGGCTGAGTGCTGATCAAGTACTGTATATTCATTCACAGGGCAGTGTGTTAATTCTGGGACTGTGGGGTTGAGAGAAACACTTACGTCAGCCCTCAATATCCCAAGGAGGAAGAGAAGTAGGTCCCCAGAAAATGGTAAAGGGCCATGGGGGAAGAGCCTGGAGGTTGTCCCCAGTGTAGGAGGAGGGAGACATGGTAGTTCAGATGTCCATCTGCCTCTAAAACGTGGAGGTGAGACCTTCAGAGGAGGTTAGCTCTCCAATAACCGTCTAATAGGCAATAACAATCTGTCTATAAAAGTCAGAGTCCCTGTGAATGGAGTTAGCGCCCTTCTAAAAGAGATTGGAGAGATTCTCAAGTGATGGACGGGGCCTGTTTTACACAGTACTGAGGGTCTGTGCCCTTTCTGAATGTTACGTAATTATTCAATCATCTGAGCTACATCCCCAGGCCGAGACCTACTTCTCATATTTTGGTGGTGAGCCTAGCCTTTAACGACTTTCATCCGGTCTCAGTCCCTTGCTGTAGGACAGCTGCAGTGGCTTCCAAGGGCAGCAAGATGGAAGGTAGTCACTGTATCTCTGAGGTATCCTGCAATATTTCTACCTTTCCTATTCATTGGTTGCTGCAGCCATCCCACAAGGGGAGAACAATTAGACTCCTCTGAAGAAAGAGTAGTGATGGAGCTTGTGGGCCCCTGAAAGAACCCTAAAGAACAGAACATCATTCCAAAGCGTTTGTGGGTTAGGCTCTGAGATGTCACAATGGGAGGTAGAGTATGACCTACTGAAGACACCCAAGTTCTAGGCCTCTGTTACATTTTGTGGCTAATCACTGGCTACAGTGAGAACGTTCTGGGTTATCTAGATGGGCTCGATGTAATCATCAAAGTCTTTAAGAGAAAGTCGAAGGAAGGGAGGTGAGACATGTCAGCGTAATACAGTTTAAGGCCCCATTGGCTGTAGCTGGCTTTGAGGGAGGGAGGCAGGCACCATTGAGGCTGGGGAAGGCAAGGACAGATTCTCCCCCAAAGCCCCCAGCAGTAATGTAAGTCCTCTGACACCTTGTCATTAGCAAAGCAAGAGCCATTTCTTTTTGCTCCAAATCATTCTGTTAACGGTGGAGATAGAAACAAGGACAGGGCTAGCCCCACTCGTCTCCTGTTTGCCTCCACTCTCTGTGTTTGGCTATTGTTTTAAAATGTGTATCTGAAACACCAAATGCATTTGTATTGCTACTATTATGGACTTGACTGCTTATACTGTCTAGAAGTAGAAGCAGCCAACAAAAAGATATGGAAGAATTGGTGTGCAATGAATACAGAGCCTTGTTAAACCAACGCCGGAGAGACATACCCGTGGTGGGAGAGTCTCGAAAATACTATTTTCTCTACATTTCTTCCCTCCCATTTCAAGCTAGCAGCCAGTTTTACCATCCCGCACTTAGGGAACTGAGGGAGACACGGGAGAGGCTGGTGGTTACTGACTCATCTTTAATTTTTGTTGTTATTTGTGGGTTTTTTTTTATTTGTTAATTTTAGACAGTGTCTCACTGCATCCCTCTGGCTAGCCTAGATCTCGTTCTGTAGACCAGACTGGCCTTGAACTCACAGAGAGATCTGCCTCCCCTGCTTCTGCCTCACAGTGCTAGAATTAAAGACAAGCACCATGCCCAGCTCACCTCCAACTTGTAAAAGGTCTTTTGAAGGGACAAGGGACATTGCTCCCTCTGCCAAGGCAGAAAGTAGGTGAATGTCACCAGAGTCCAAGAAAGGCTGTGGTGATAGTTTGTTTGTGTTCTCACAGATATAGCTTGTCTGAAGATTAGAGGCCAGAGTTAGCCACTAGCTAACCATAGAGACCAGGCAGTGATGGCACACACCTCTAATTCCAGCACTTGGGAGTTGGAAGCAGGAAGATCAAGTGTTCAAGGCCACACTGGGCTACAGGAGATTTAACCAGTCAAAAAGAGAAACAAAGCTCACACCTTTGATCCCAGCACTGGGAGTTCAGGCCTTTAATCCCAGCACTAGGGAGGTGGAGACAGGAAGCGATATGGCTGGGTGGAGAGAGATACAAGGCGGGAGAAGACAGGAGCTCACCCTTCTGCCTGAGGATTTCATAGATGTAAGAACTCTAGTGGCTGGCTGCTCTGCTTCTCTGATCTCTCAGCTTTCACCCCCTGATATCTGACTCCAGGTTTTTATTATTAAGACCAATTAGAATTCACAACAAGGGCTATCACAGTCTACTTGGTCATAAGACCTTAGAGGGGAACAGTGCAGTCCTGTCAGACTTGAGGCTTAGAGGTTTCCAGAGTTACCGCTGACATCCAGGTCATATTGCAGGGGTGCAGAATGTGGAGGATAGGTAGGCAGGGCAGTGGGCATGTGTCTTGAGTCTACAAAGACTGGGGCTTGATATCTTCCGGCTATCTTGGCGCTCTGACCTGGGACTTTTTAGGGCCCAGTGGAGTGGAGAGAGACAAGACTGAGATCACTCAGATGGAATACCCCACTGGCCAATAGGGAAAGGAAGAGGAACTGGGGTTCAAAATGTGCTGAACCAAAAAGTGATGCTCTGGGCCCCCAAATGCTGGGCTAGTACACAAAAGGGTGACAACCTTTGGACTTCAAATGAAAGTCTTTAATCTCCAGGTGGAAGCCTGGGTGGGTGAGGATGGGGTGCTTAAGAGGGCAGAAAACACTGCCTTGCAGCTCAGAGGATGAGCCAGAGCTGCTGGGGGGCTCCATGGCTGGACTAGGTTGGAAGCACATACTCCATCTCATCGGGGGTGAAGTACAGATAAATCAGAAAGCAGCTCCAGATGACAAAGGTGAAAAGGGCGCCCAGGCGTGGTGTGAAGGTCTCCTGCTAGGTGGGAGAAAGGTGGGGGACCTGGGGCCAGGCTGAGGCTGCTGCCGAAGGGGTACCCTCCCCACCAAGGGAGCCTGTGGACAGCAACCTTAGGGTTGGCCACCCAAATCCTCTGTCCTGGTGCCACATCCTCTATGTCTGGGTGAGTATGCTGGGTAGCGGAACCCCACTGGCAGTCCCTAGGCCCTGGACCCCCACAGGTGGGACTGGCTGCAAAAGGAAGCCCAAGCGCATGCCTTTGGGATAACCAGAGTCCACTGAGAAGGCCCTTCTCGCATGGCTCTACCTACCCCCGATGGCAGTTGTTCTTTAGGGCACACAACAAACATTTCTCCTGTAGAGGGGACAGAAATGGCACAAGAAAGATCATGTTTTTCCCTGGTCCAAGTTGGCCAGCCTGCTGGGCACCTCACCAGGCTTCGCTATAGAGGACGGTGTGACTGAGCAGAACTCGGGATCAGGCACATCTAGGGGCCGAGTGCACAACAGTGGTTTGAATCTCACCGCAGCCTTGAAGGCAGGCAGCTAAGGAAGGTTTCCAGACTAGGAGATTCGTCCAAGGACTGGGAGTAGGGTGAGGCAAAAGCTCTGGGGGTGGGGAGAGGAGAAGGGCAGGGCAGGAGCAGCCCTGGGCTGTAGACAGTGCTGAGGGCCGACAGGAATTCACTTACGCAGCAACTCTGACACGAATGAAGGGGATCCGGTGAATTATCCTTTGTTTTTTGTGACGTCATCATCTTATCGCTAGTCAATGCTGCTCTATCGGGTTCTTCCATTTTCTTGGGTCTGAGCTGGGGATCTTTGTCCGTCTTTCCTATCTGCCCGAGTTCCTGCTGCTCCTTTGGTTGTTTTTGAAGGGGACTGGCGGGTCAGGAGGGGACAGAGATTTGGGGAAACTTTTTCTACCGGCACAGGGGTGCATGGAAGGCCTTGACTTCCAGTCATTGTAACAGTGGAGTCAAGGCAAATCCTTAAGGAGAACATTCTCTGAGCCCCCAGGGAGGGAGGAGGTGGCACTTACAGCTTGTTGTTCTTCTGTATGATCATTAAAACATCCATCTTCTCATCCATATCCTTCTGCATTTCCTTTGAGAGAGAACCCAAGACTAGAATTCTCCTTCTGAAGAGCTCGGAGCTTCCCTCCCTCTCTCTCTCCTCTAACTCCTCCTGTCTTATACTTCAAGAATCCCCACTAGCCTTGGCTGAGGGGAATGGGGCATGTCCCTGCCGGTCACCTTCTACCCCAGCTCCACAGTGAGGCTAGAGCATGGGCGGAGCACTAGGTGAGCCAGAGGCTAGGAGCTCTTCTGCCTGACCTCAGGGATGAGGCTTTGAGTTGGTGCCCACGAAACGGTGCAGCTAAGAAAACATGCTGTAATCTCAGAGATTCTGTCTCCAGCGCCTGCACCCTTGTCTCTGTGTCTCTGTGTGTGTGTGTGTGTGTGTGTGCGTGTGCGTGTGACAATACAGTTTTAGTATGAAAAATAAAACAAGTGAAACAAAGTAAAATGAGGGCCAGATACACGGCTCAGTGGTTCAGAGAACACACTGCTCCTGCAGGGGACCTGAGAGTTTGGTTCCCAATGCCCACATCAGGCAGCTTGCAAGCGGATTTTATCTCCAGCTCCAGAGGATCCAATACATCTGGTCACGTCGTGCATCAACCCCACACCCCACAAACACACGCATGGATTCACACGCATGCGCGTGCACACTTACACACACACACACAAATTTAAAATAATGAAAACAAATCCTAAAAATGAAATAGAAGACAGTAGCTAAAACAACACGGCTCATTCATTACTCACTGAGAACTAAAAGAGAAAAAATAATCTATAGAATTTGACGTGGGAAAAGCTGGAGAGAAATGGTGGAGAAGAAGAAACCCTAAGGGTGCAGAAGCTGTAATTGACAGTATTCATTATGAACGAAAGTGAAAGTGTTTCTAATACAGAAAGATTCTGAGCCAGTTTAATTGATGTAAAGCTGACAAAGCAATCACACCATTGGTCGGGAAGGCATGGTTTCTGAAGACTGTAACATGAGGGCCGGCTTGTTGGGGTTTCTGTCCCGCCCAGTACCCCACAACCGGCAACTCCCAAGGAAAATCACTCACAAGACTCCATAAGATTATAAACTGATTGGCCCATTAGTTCAGTCTTCTTATTAACTAATTCTTACATTTTACGGTAACCCATAATTCTACTCTGTGTTAGCCATATGGCTTGGTACCTTTTTCAGCTGTCAGCTCACACGTTGCCTCTTCAGTGATCTGGGCAGGAGTGACAGAGGAAGCTTCCTGCTTCCCAGAATTCTCCTGTTCTCACTGCATCACCTCTACTTCCTGTCTGGTTTTCCCACCTATACTTCCTGCCTGGCCAATCAGCGTTTTATTAAAATACATGATTGACAGAATACAGATAATTCTCCCACACCAGAAGACAGCTGTGTCGATGGTTGTAAATGTCAGAATACCCAGGAAAAGTATTAAAATCTCCGTATGACCAAACATGCCCCTGGGGCTGAGCACACAGTGCTGGTGTCCTTTACTCTTACAAGTCTCGCCCAGCCTCTCCTTCCCATCTAAATCAGCTCCACTCGCCCACTATGCTTGACAATTTCTCCACTGCCTTGTCCATCCAGATGGACACTCTGGGGTCACTATGGACACTCACTTAAGACTCCAGTATCCCGAATCTGTCACCAAGAACCACCATGTTGCCTTCAATGTCTCCCTTCTTCCCTGCCCCCTCCTCTAACCCTTCTCGCTCTATCACAGCGGGAGGCAATCGCAGGCCTTCCCCACCTGCTCTGCGCCTCCCAGGCCACCTTGCCAGCAGCTGCTCCTTGTGTGTTCTTTAAGAAGCTCCAGAGACTGCTTGCTGCTTAGAGAGGCAAGTCCCAACTTGTCAGCTGTTTCTAAGATCCCATCAGTCTCCACTGTGTGCCCATGCAGTTTTATTTCTGTTTCCCCCAGATGACCTCACTCCATGGCTTGTCTCCCCCATGACTGGGAAACACAGCCATCCTCCTGCTGGGGCCAAGCTGTTCCCTGCCTGAAATAGTTTTCTTTGTGCCTCTCCGTACCCAGAGTGGCCACTAATAAAATGCTTATGGCGTTTGCATGTTAATATAGAAATAGTGCATGCCCTTTGCAAAAAAAAAAGCTGGATAAAGCAGGAGAGTATTTAAAAACTGGATCACAAGACTGCTCTCTGCCTTTTTGGTGCATCTATTTCCCAATCGTTTTCCTATATATTTACATTAAGCATTTTTTATAAGCCCTAATATTAATATATGGAAAAACTATAATTTAGTTACTTCTCTATTGTTGGAAATTGTGGCTATTCCCAAATGTTTGCTATTATAAATAATTCTGAAATGAAAATAGTTTATACTTAGTCATGTTGACAGTTTTTAATATTCTCATAGGATAAATCTTGAGAATGCCTATTTTCTAAAATTCCGATTTTTGCATGAATTAGTACTCTGATCAGTGACTCATGGTCATAAACCCAAAATTTGAGTGTGACAGTTACATTACTTAAAGACAGATGCTATGTGGTGTGTGTGTGTGTGTGTGTGTGTGTGTGTGTGTGTGTGTGTCTAGGTGTGTGCACTTGAGTCCAGGTGCCTCCCAGGGACAGAGACATCAGATCCCCTGCAGCTGGAATTATGGGAAGTTGTGACCCTCCCAGTGTGGGTGCTGGGAACTAAACTGGGGTCCACTGCAGGAGCAGCACACTCTCTGAGCTGCTCAGGTGTCTCTATTTAGCTGCACAGTTCCTCTGTGGGAGGGAAGTTGTTTGTGTTCTCCGGGTCTCCGTCTGTTCTTTCTGGCCTGCCCATCACGCCCTTGCCCTTCTTCTCGTTTATTTCCTATTGTTCTGTGTGACATCTATATTTTATGGATTATAAACCCTTTGTCCCTTATCACAGTTGTGGAAAACTATTTCCTCAAAGTGCTTTTAAATTCTGCATCTGACATTTTTCCATCTTAATTCTTTTTTAAAACATTCATATAGGCAAATACATCAATACTTTGAAATTTGGCCATTATATTCATATTTATAACTTTTCCTTACTGGTTTTTATTTCTCAAGTTCATGTTATAGACCACTTCAGCTTACAGAGCTAATGAACTGGTTTTTCCTCACAGAGTCGAGCAATGGTCTTCTATTATTACATAACCCTTTTCTTCTGACATTTAAAACCACCTTTTATCACAGGGCTGGATCCAGTTCAGTGGTTGAGAGGCTGCCTAGCAATGTGAGATCCCAGGATCCAATCCCTAGTACCACCCCCCAAAAATCACCTTTATCAAATTTAAAAGTTGATGGACATATGGTTCTCAGTCTTAAGTGTCTATTAGAATCCCATGGGGAAATTTCGAAGTCACTGGGGCTGGGCCCTCACTCGCAAAGATTCTGGTTTAGTTTCTCTGAGGGGAGCCTGGGTTTAAGTGGCCCGTGTGATAGACCTCTCTGATCTCATCCATCTGAGGCTGGCGAATGTTGTTCAAGTGTTTAGGATCTGATTTGCATCTAAGGGCACACGTCCAGATGACTTGGGAAGAAGCCAAGCACGGGAGGTGACCTACAGTTCTAGCACTCGGGGTGAGGCAGGAGCAATCAAAAGCTGGAGGCCAGTGTGCATTCCTGAAACTGTCGCAATACACATGTAATGTATATAAACACATATATACATTTTACACATATACATGTAACGTATATAAACACATATATACATTTTAAAATCATTTGTAGCACTTAAACAACTACACTTTGAAATAGTTATTGTTCAGTCTTTGGTCTGTGTGGAGTCTGGGTGTTTGATGTTTAGTATGCTCCCGGGCGGTTCTCAGGACATCCATCCCCGGAAAAGGAGCCCTCACATTCCTTCACTTCCCTTCTTATTTTAACCACCCTGGTTTGATAACTGTAGGTTTATCATGAACTTTAATCTAGCGATTCAAGTGTCCCTTCGACCTCTTAGAAATACTCCAGGCCTTGCCTTTTGCCTGCATATGCATCTGCATCAGTAATTCTCAAGCTTCTAGGCAGCCGGACCCAGGACCTATCTGAGTATGAACCTGGGGCCTTGTCCCAAGTCGTTCTGAAACAGACGAATGTTTGCAAACCGCTGCTCTGTGGTCCCTGCTATCTGTCATGTTTCTGAGCCAAAAGGGAGCCAGGCTGGGCCTTCAGCTTCACATCAAGCTTGTGACATAATCTTATCAAGTCTAAGGCCCAGATTCTCTTGCAGGACTTTGCTCCTAACTCGCACTCCCTACCTCTAAACCTCTGACTAACAGACACCTGCACCTCAGCCTGTAAATCTGTCTAGTGGGTGATAGAGACCTCAAGAGCAGGGGCCTGGCATCTCTTCCATCACTTCCCATGTGACCCATGAAAGGCATACAGTGAAAGCTTACCTTCATAATTTCCACAAATTCATGAAGCTTATCAAAATCTTTGTCCATTATATCCTTTATCTAGTGAGGAAGAAAAGTGCGATTTAACAGGGCCTGAAGTGTAATCCTGAAGCCAGTCACAGGGTCTTCTGGGCATTTTGAGTGAAGGGTGGTAGCTGGATCATGGGAATGGATGACTAATAGTTACTCTATATAAGCACCTTTCTTCCCGAGAAGTCTATGAAGGGTTTAGGGTGTGGCTACCACTACCAGGTCATCTCTAGCAACAGCTTTGACATGTGGGGCTCAGGCCATACTTGAACTACTCCTTCTTGCTTAGTTCCCCCATTCCCTAGGTGAGCTATAAGTGACTGTATCCTAGAAACAGGAGAGCTCTGTCTGTGCAGCCTCCTCTGGGAAGATGTATGAGGAGGACACAGTTGATCTGTGACCGTCGTCAGATTCCTAGTCAGCTCCTCTTCACGCTATCACTGAGCCTAACATCACCCCAACTTTAATACATTAGGGAATTAGTCATTGCTTGAAAAATGGGCTTAGGCATGGAATAAGAAAGAAATTACTGTTCTGTGCTGCCCAGGGTTGGAAGACTGTAGGAGACCAGGTGTGAGTCAGTTTGTTGCTTCGCCCATGCAGTTCCTGGTTCCCTTGACTCGTCAGGGTTGGCAATTACATTTCCCTCAGAGTCCCACTTTTCTTCTCTTGCTGAACCTTATTGTGTTACCTGCTTTATCTCTTCCATCTTTCCCTTGAGTTCTTCTCTCACCTCCCTGAGTTCATTCTGTGGAAATAAATGTGAGAGAAACACATTGGAGACATCTCTCAACGGAAAACAAGGGGAGGTCCTTGGGGCTCTACCAATCAGAGGAAAGGAAAAGGCAAAGGCGGTGTTAGCACAGTGGGGGACGGGAGACCAGCGGGGAACACACTGAAAAGAGCACAGCTTCGGAAGGTTTGCCCCAAATCCCCAGTCTAACTCTGGAAAAGGCAGATGAGTAGAGAGTTAGCATCCATCAGTAAAATAAATCCTCAAAACTGTCAAGATTCGGTAAAATAAACGTTGAAAAGGTAATCCACACTAAAGAGACGTGATGGGGCTGGAGAAGTCCTAACTGCCGGGAAGGCTTCCTGCTCTCCCAGAGAACTGGAGCTCCATTCTCAACATTAGCATCTGGAAGCTCATAGCGGCTTCTGACTCCAACCGCAGGAGGATCTGATGCCCTCTCCTGGCCTCTGCAGGCACACACACAGATAGACAGACAGACAGACACACACACACACACACACCACACACACACACACACACACACACACACACACACACACACACACAGGCACACAAAACGGCCAGGGTTGTGGAGGAGGGGGGCACTAGGGGAAACACAGGTCAGGGATCAGGTCCCCAGGCCAAATGATTTTGTTGTTAGTAATGAGACAACGGGTGACATCAAAATAAGGGTTTTGTTAATGACTTGATTTTGATAATTACACACACACACAAACAAACAAACAAAAATAAAAACTGTAAGAGAACATGGTTCTTTTTAGGAAGTACATATTAAAAATCTGGCTAAGCTTAATTCTCAAACAGTTCAGACAGCATCTGCGGTCAATCATTCTGGGTATCCACGGAGGATTGGTACAGGACCCTGTGATGAAGGTTGAGGGGAGAACCCAGGAAAGGGAGATACAGTCAAGATGCCCACCATTGTCCTGGAAAGAGGGGACCAGGAAGTACCCACAATAGTTCCTCATGAGAGAAACTTCAGGTACCCTGCAGATATCCAAATTTGCTAACGCCAACATCCCCTACATGCTGTGGCCAACCTCCCACAGGCTTTGGGCCGTTCCTGGGTCCCCCTCAGTACACATGCCGTGCAAACGCTATGCAAACGATTGCTGCTGTCTTGTTTTAGAAGTGATGGAAAAATATCTGTAGTGCTTTATCAAATATTTTCAATCTCAGATTGGCTGAATTAAAGGCATTGGAGCCTATAGATATGAAGGGTGATGTGTGTGCGCACGCGTGTATACACTGGTGGGTGCATGTGTGTAGAAAAGGAGACAGACAGAATCAGAGACTAAAGCATCAGTGATAAGCCGCCAGCATTTAGGGAATCTGGGTGAAACGTGTGCTAGAATTCACTATGCCATTCTCTGTAACGCCTAGGTAAGTCAATTTGTTTCAAAGTAACAGATTAAAAATAAGAGACAGGACTTAGTGAAGCCTCCGGCTGCAGGTGCCCCCGGGTACCAACACACTCAGAAGTTAGCTGGCTGGCCACCCCTTTCACAGGTGATCTGTACCCTGGCCACCTGAGCCCAGACACTGACCTTCAGCTCCTGCGTCATCCCTTTTTTGATGACTAGCCCTTCTTGTTTAAGTCCTTTGTGATCATCTGTCTGTGGATTGAAACGGAAACGTCGAGGCACTGGAAATAATAGGGTGGGCGGGGCTAGAGAGCCCACCCTGAGTTCTGTCCCTCCCTGGAGACAGGGCACAAAGAGAAGCTGGTGGCCCTGTCTCTGCAGAAATTCCTTCTGCCCTTTTCTCTCTCTAGGTTCAGTGTAGTCACACCTCTCCTGGCTCAGAGGGCCTCAACTCTTCTTGTCTCCCGACCCTTGCACAGCCTGGCTTATTCCCACCTCGGATGCTTCTTCCCTCCAGCTAGAAGGTTCTTTCTCAGACTCTGCTCTGTCAGCATCTAGTCCTTGTGTTCTTGCTCCAAGGAAGACCTTTCCGACCCTAAAACAGCCGTCCCCTCCTGTCTCCTAATCTTCATTCTCCATGTAACAGGTGGCACAGCCGACTTTCTCTGTTGTTTATGTCTGACTGGTCACTCGTGAAGTCCTATGAAAACAAGGAACTTATCTTTCTTGTGTCCCCCAACACCTACGATAGGTTCTTGACACCAAGAATAGGAAATGGCCCTTGTCTCCAATGACCTCCCCATGGATCTCAGGCCTGACTGAAGGCATAGATTCCAAACAGCTTACTTGTGTCAGCTCCAAGCAAACCTCCTTGTAGTTCTTTTTCTGCAGAGAGAGAAGGTCACAGTGTAGTTAGTCGCTTGTCAGGATTGGGAAAAATAACAGTCAGTCCTCGCAAGAGACCCCAACAACCACACGCTAGCTGCAGTTGAGTGTATGCTCGTGTGGTCCCAAGCACGATGTCTGCTTCTGGCCACTGAGCCTGGTCATGCTATCCATTTCTAATGAGTGCATGTGTGTCTAACCCGCAGACAGGGAGAGCCCTTTTGAACAACTTTTAGAAAGCCCCCGAAGGTTGTTTCAAGAATGGCTCAGGCTCTAACATGCCCTCTCTTTTAGCCATACCAACGAGGGCAGGTTACTCAGTGTCAGGGCCCCCATTTTCTCATCGTCTATTAAGTGGGCTTAATCATCTATCAAGGTTATTTTGAGCCTTAGATGGGTCAGTTAGATTCAGGCCTCGGCTGGGTCCTGGACTGAGAAGGGTCTTGGAGACCACTGGGCCTTCCGTAGAGAAGTCACAGGCCCTGTTCCTTCCCACCCCAAGGCCAGGCACCAATTTACACCCACGCCAGGCTGAGGGCTGCTTGGGACTCTGAGCAAAGAAAGAAAATTGGAAGATTCACAGGGTCATTTCCAATATCTTCTCAGTCCTGCCTCCCTCCATCTGGCAGGAGCTCACAGAGGCCCCGCAGTGCCCGGTGATATTCTTCCTTTACCGGGTTGGTTTTCTTCAGTTCTCCCCTCTTGGCCGACATGATGGAAGAACCAGGGTGTTCTTCAATTTCCCAACCTCCCCACAACAGTCCCCTGGGACCGAGCCACTGTCTTATGAAACTTACAGGCTTAGGCAATGGTAGGGAGACTACCTCTTTGTGTGCGGAACAGTTGAGGTCACAATGCCAGGATTCATATGCTGGCCTGGAGTGTCACCAGCTTCAGATCTGCCTACTGTTGCTCCTGAGACCGAAGGTTCTTACCAGGTTCCAAAGCCATAAGGCCTTAAGCCTAGGGCTGCTGAGGACCTCGGCCAGTTATTTGAAAGCACAGACACCTTGGGAGAAGTCAAGCCTTCGCTCCTGATGCAGGAGGCCTCATCCTCTGACCAAGAGAATCTGTCCCAGATGGCTTCTTGCTGGCGCTCATTTCTTCACTAATATAACCCCCATATTCACCTCTACACCATCTCTTTTCTTGACTCTTTTATCTCACCAGAGGAGGGTTGGGGCAATAAGGAATATTGAATAGTTCTTAAGACAAGAAGATGTGTGTGTGTATAATGCAAAAGGTAATTCTGAGGTTCACTGTTATTTGAGTTTGTTTAACATGGCGAACTGGAGGCACATGGCATCTCCTGGGGTCTAACATGGCTCAGAATCTGAGTTGGGGAACCTGATTTCTCTCCTCCTCCGTGGGGATTCCATGTCCCCCTCCTCTCGTCTCAAGGGCTACGATCTGACACAGAAAAGGCCAGCTTGAGCCTTCTGAGGACAGGTAGCCCAGTAGTATGGCAAGTAACCAGGATATGTGTGGATTATGCCCACACCAGGTACCTCCCACACACCCACCTGATTTTCTTTGTGCAGCTGCTGGGTCCTTTCCGGGTCAGCTTCCTCAAAAGTCACCTGCAGCCACTGTAGCTACACCTCCTAGGTGGTGACTTCCAATCAAGCCCCTTCCCCACGGAAAGCCTGGGATCTCGCTCCCCTCTACCAAAGGAGAACATTATGCTTCACGCTGGTCCAGGCAAGGGGAGGGAGTGTGGGGCTGAGCTGTCCAGACCTCATTTCCCCACATGTAAATGAAAGAACCCTGGCTCCAGCTGACCAGTTTCAAAGCCTGTAACAGTGGACACGTCTTCTCTTCCAGGCTTGAGAGCCTCCAAATGCGGCAAGTAATGACCCCTTTGCTCAGCAGGGCAGACGTTACATGAGCTGCCTCTGAGCTAAGCACACATGTGGGCATACTGGACTGTATGTCAATCAAGCAGATAGGAAATAATCATCCTCAGTAGGAACGTGATTTATAGTGAAAAACAAGCCACCCCACACACACACACACACAATGCCATGCTTTTTACTTTCTCACGGTGCACTCAAACATTATTGTTACCAGTATATCCTCAAAGAGCTGGAAAACCAGTTTATGAACCTAAATAAATTAGTTTCCTCTCCCTTCTCCTTCTCCACTTTCTCCTCATTTTTATTATTTATTTATTTGGCAGAGTCTTATTTTGTAGCCCAAACTGACCTGGACTTCGCTATTTTACCTTTCTGTTGCTGTGATAAGACACTACTACCAACAGCAACTTCTGGAAGAGTTTATTTGGGCTTGCAGCTCCAGAGTGAGTCCACCACAGTGGGAAGGCATAACAGCTACAGCAGGAAGCCGGGAGCTCACATCTTCAAATGCAAACATAAAGAAGGGAAGCAGGTGAAATAGAGGTGGTGGAGGCTTTTTAATTTCAAAGCCCGCATACTTCCTCCAGCAAGGCTGCACACCCAAATCTCCCCAAACAGCACCAACAACTAGGAACCAAGTACTCAAATTCCCAAGACTGTAGGGGCCATTTCTCATTCAAACCATCACAGCTATGTAGACCAGCTCGGCCTTGAACTCATTCATGGCAGCTCTCAGGTCTCAGCCTCTCAAACTCTGGGATTACGGTCAAGAGTCACCACACCTGGACATATCAATATTTTATAGCTATGAGAGATGAAGTTGAGGCAGGGTTTCATGGCTGGATGTCACTGCTGTAACTTGACCTCCTGTAGGCTGTCCTGACCCGAGGGATACCAGAAAGTCTTTCCTAGCACCCCTTCAGAACAAGGTCCCCTGCGCCAGGACAGGATCATAAACCCCACCCCCACCCATGCTCCACCAGGACTGGGAGACAGCAGAATGTTCAGAACAGCGAGGAAGACACACCAGTAGCATCTTTTCTCCAAGTCGGTGTAATTTTGAAGCTCTTTACAAAGGTCCCAGGCTGCTTTTGTTTCACGGAGATAATGTTGTGGGTAGAGGCTCAATGGAGATACTTAAAATGGCTGTAAGATTCTGAATTTGGTCTCTTATGACTCCAGGACTGTATATTCTAGAGTCTGGCTCACAATGAAGCTCAGTCTTCAGCCATTATCTAACAGAGCCCAGAGAATGAGAGAGACAGTCCTGTGTGCCCAGGGGTCTGTTTGACTACAGATATTCTAAAGCCTATCAAAGAGGACGGAGCATTTCATAAACATTCTCAGGATTCTGGCTATGGTCTCCATTCAGCCCTGAAGTGATCCAGTTCAGCATCCATAACTTGATGCCCTGCTGTACCTGGTGGCCCCCCTGGGCAGGAGAGAGACTGTGGTTCCCATCTTAGGGACCTCCTGATGTACATTTGTTAGAGATTACATGGGGTGATTCCTGTGTTGTCCTACTTTGACTTACAGACACTCCCCCAAGAGCTCTATCCTGTGCAGCGTGAAGATGTCTTTCATCTCTGACCCTTGGATTGCTATGCAACTTTTGATCTTTCCTTTAAATAGCATACCAGAGCAGATATAGCTATAGTCTCTCACATTGTTTCTGTAGGGAAAATGTCTGCTGATGTTATCTGAATGGGTTCTGCTGTTTTAGGAATAAGCATGGTGTGCCCAGATCGTTGTAAAGCCCCAGTTATTTCCGTACTGCTGAGGAGGAGGGGAAAATCCCTGCGAAGGTGTCCTTGAGGATTTCTGCCTTTTCTCATTGTGCAGCCACTGGGCCAAGGATGTTTGCCAGGTCTTCCAGACCCCAAGGGAACCAATACTCCTCCACAACCAACCACAAGAGAACAGCCTACGATGAAGGACAATCAGAGTCACCAGTCGCCAGAGCTCTCTCCGCCAGCGGGACTCCGGGGACCTCCTGACTTAATGTTCTGTCTTGGGACAGGATCCAAGTAGAATATGACATGCATTTCTGTCCTTCCAATTCCATCCGCTTCCTAGAAGGCTCACAGCTTTTGTCCCTGTCACTACTTCCTCTCAATCCGTGACACTTTCAAATTCCCATTTGTCACTGAAATAACAGAAGTGAGTGGAACCATAGAATCTTTGGACTGAGTTTTAAGGGACTGTGTCTCATGTGGTAGCTCATTGAAGATCCTAGGTGGGAGGGTTCCAGGTTTTGTCCAGGTAGCAGCCCTCGTTACCCCTGCTCACATTGACACCTGTCATTAAGGTCCTTAGCACCTCAAGGCTGAGTTGGTGTGAAGAATAATTTAGAAAGCTGACTCTTATTCCCTTAGTGGGGGTTCTGGGACTTGGGCTGGGATGGAGAACATCTTTCTTAAAGCCAGGGCGGTGATGAAGGGTAAGAAGGTTACAGAGACCAGAGTCTCGAGAGCTGAGTTCATGTTTGCATGTGACTTCAGACAGAGGACCTAATGGCAAATTCTAAGTGCCACTGTAGAGAGGGCCAAGGGAATGGAGAGAAGAGGGAGAGAGATCAGGTGCCAGCATGAATACTGTCAGCCAAGAGGCTCTCCGGGTCACCAAGCTATGAATGAGAGACTCTGAGTGAAATAATTAGGTGTTTCCAACCAAGCTTGCTCCTTGTTATATGGTTGAGTTCTGTGCAGACGGTGGGGCTTTTCTTCTCTTGGCAGGGAGTGTGGGCTCACAGAGAGGCTGTCTGGTTTTCTGAAGCTTGACTTCAATAGGTTCCAAATTTCATTTGCACTTAATGCCAAAATATGTTGCCGCTCTGATTGTAGATCAGACTTAATGGAGCCAAGAATCATACATCCAAATCCACTTTGATGAGCTGGAAATGAATCTGGCATCTGCTAGGCCCCCCAGTCCCGCCAGGAATGAACTTTCTAACGCTGGAGCACATGGAGAGCAGGTGCCGCTCTCAGCCTCAGCGGCAGCCGAGTCAGCAGCTCTCCCCAGGAGCTCTGACCATTGCTGGAACTCCAGCCTCTGCTGCTGTCCTCCCAAAAGTCAAACCAGCCAAGGGTGTGCGCTTGCAGGCACCTGCTAACTGTAGAGCTTTGGTGAGTCCTGCCAAGTGCAGGACCCACAGGGGCAGTTCCTATGGAAGCTGTCGGCTTCTATTTGGTGACTGTTTTAGTTTCATTTTGGTTTCTGTGACAAAAAATATACTCCAACCTAAAGTGTGATGGTTTGAATTAGAATAGCCCACATAGGCTCGGCTCATGTGCTTGAATGTCTGGTCTCTAATTGGTGGAACTGTTTGAGAAAGATTAAAAGGCGTAGCCTTGTTGGAGGAAGTGTATCACTGGGGACGGGCTTGATGGTACCAAAAGTCTACACCAGGTCCCGTTAGTGTGTTCTCTCTCTGTCTCTCTCTGTCTCTCTCTGTCTCTCTGTCTCTCTCTCTCTCTGTCTCTCTCTCTCTCTGTCTCTCTCTCTCTCTCTCATTGTCTCAACATTAAGCTTTCAGCTACTACTCCAGTACTATGTTGTCCCGTCTGCTGCCATGCTCCCTGCCATGATGGTCAGGAGCTCTAACCCTCCGGAACCATGAGCCTCCAAGTTAAATACTTTTTATAAGTTTCCTTGGCTGTGGTGTTTTATCATAGCAACAGAACAGTAGTCAAGACACAGGAAGTAACACAGGGGAGGAGGAAAGAGCTTGTTTGGTTATGGTTCCAGGTCACAGGTCGTCATCGAGGGAACTCAAGGCAGAAACCCAAAAGTAGCCCCGATTGTGATCTCACACAGCATTGCCTCCGCCAGGAAACTCACTTCGCAGCCAAAAATGTGTGGCAGGAACTGTGGAAGATGCTGTTTGCCGCCAGGCAGGCTTATGTTGTTAGCTTTCTTACCACAGCTCAGGAGCACCTGTCTAGGTATGATTCGAGCTACAGCGGTTGAACTCTCTGTATCAGTTAGCGACCAAGACAAACCCCTATGCTGGGGGACATTTTCAGTGATGCAGTCGCCTTTGGGTCACCAAGGATGAAGTAGGTAACCCCAACAGACTCACTGTTTCCCAAGCTAGACTTGGGTGGGATAATTCCTTAGTCTGTTGTCGGTGTCCCATCTGTGGTAAACAGTAATTTGTTCACGTCTCTCTAGAAGAATTCATGCAACATTTATCCTCTAAGAGGATAACTCTGTTTTCCAGATTCCCTTGACGAGGCCTCAGGCACAGCCGTGCCCTCTCACCCTTCTCCTCCTGAGCTCTTCCTCTCAAGAGTGTGAACCCGGGCACTGAGCCTCAGACCCCTCCAGCTGAGGCCCTAGGTCTGCCTCCCTCGTGTCTGTTCCTCAACCTGATTGCACAGTTTGGCTAGTGCAGATTCGGCTAGGCCAGGCAGGGGCACGACTTACTTTTGGAAGAGATGGGTGGCTCAGACATAGACACACTGGACTGTCATTGTTAAGGAGTGACTTTCACCGACTCCTAAGGAGGGAGTGACAGCCTGGATTCTTGGTGCCCAGTGCCTTCCTGGTTAGCCTTGCAAGTCTTTGCAGATGGAGTCTCAAATCTGGGGCCAAGCAGTAGGGCGAGTGTTCTGTAAACTGGGCTCAGTCCCTGTTCTCAAGGAGCGAGGGTCTAAAGGAAAAAGGAGACATGCTAAATTGTCACCTGGAGTGCCACTTGCTGTCCTGGGGACATGCTGTGGAGGCCCTTACACCCTTACTTCACTTCTTTCCGGGTGTGAGCAACCTGTCTTCATTGAAGGCAGGTAGACCAGAAGCCTTTGCGAATGGCACAATGAAAAGGTGAGAGGTAGGACAGGTGTTTTCCAGACCAAGATGGTCAAGGTGTCCTCTCACTGGAGAGTGGTCCAAAGATTCCCTGACACTGGCTGGTTCTACTACTGGGATGCAGTCGCCCGAGGCCATCACCGATGAAGCACCCTGAGGCAGCCATCATTGCTGAAGCTTTGACGATCTGCATGCACTTTCTTTTTGTCCATTCAGCCATCTGTTTACGCTTCTCTTTTACAAAAGAGGGGGCAGAAAGGGGTCTCTTCCAGGCTTTATTTTTTTAAAAACCTGGCCTTTGGTGGGACAGAGAGAAATCTGGGGGATGACGGGGGTGGTGTGGGACAGACAGAACATAAGCAAGTGGCTTTGATTCTCCAGAGCAGGTGCCTCTGTCTCCAGGCTGTGCTGTACTGGGATCCAGATCCTAGACTTGGGGTGGGGTGGGGCTCCGATGCCACCTATGTGGGACTTGTGGGCACCATCATGGCATTTCACACTTCTCTGTTATCTAAGCTTGAATCACTGTCCTGTTATTTTCTATAATCTTGTTCTGATCAAGCTGTTTCAGAGGTTCACAGTCTGTCTTATACAAAGGGGACAAGGAGAAGATGACAGAATCTCTGGTGGGTGCTGTGAGGTGGGTGGTGGAATGGGGAGTCCAGCTCTTCTCTCTTCCGTCCCCTCTTTCCCTCTTCCACTATGTCACTAGCTCCCTTGGATCCCAGGACCCTAAGCGCCCACGAACCTGGCTCTCCATTGTTCTACTTCCCTCTCCTGGCAGCTAGCCCCCAGGATGGGTCCCTTCTTGCCTCTCTGTTTATTAGTTGCAGGATCCATGGTGCTTTTGCCAGAGTTTAGGACAAGGATGTTTCCATCCTTATTCAGGCTATATCCTGGCAAACAGAAGGCACTCAGTATTTGCTTAGGAAAATCTGCCAGTTTGGGTAGGAAAGAGAGGAGAGCAAGAAAGAAGTGAGCACACTAGACTCAGCTGTCCAGAAGGCCGTCAGCTCCAGGGGCTTTTGTCGGGCCACCGTCATGCTGCCTGCATGGCTGCTGCTCTCCTTCTGCATGACAGGTAAGACCCCACTTGGGCCCGGAAGAGGGTGCACTGCTCCCTATGTACCCCCAGAGGCCCTCAGACTTCTAGGTTGGTTGGGAGACAAAGTGGAAAGACATAAATGATTTTTCAGCCCTTCCCCACCTCCACAAGCTTCCACTGCAGAGAATTATGGCCAGGGCAACATGTCCAGAGCGCAGCTCCTGGGGAGAGGCACCGCGAGGGTCTGTGGGTGGGGTCTTTGGGTGGGGGTGGGGTGGCTCTGAGGATGGAAGGCATGGATTGAATGGGAAAGAAGAGCACAAGAGGAAGCTGACCAGGTCCCTGGCAGCCAGATCAGCTCTAGGCCAGCTGCTGGTGCATTACGCAGGCGGGGTTTGCTTCTTGGGCTGAGACCAGGGCCAAGCACGGGTTGGTACATGACCCTCTTAGAAGGTCCCCTCATTGAGCATGGGACTGGAACCATGAGAGTGTCATGGTGGTCCCCATGTAGAGCCCCTGTCACTGAGCACAAAATGTGGAGCACCCCAGCTAGAAGCTGGGTGACCCACTGCACCTGCAGAGGTTAACCAACTGGGCCCAAGTGGCAGAGGTCAGTTATAGGTGGAGAGTTCCAGAAGGCTTGCTGTAGTTGACAAGATTTGTCGTGAGATTGAATTCCAGGGACTAGAACGGGATGACCCAATTGTGAGTCCAGGGCCTTGCTCAAGGATGGAGTACTGCAGATTCCTGAGTCCTGGGCTTGTGGGTTCCACAGGGGTGACAGGCTTTCCACCCCCCCCCCAAACTGTTGGGTGTGATTCATTAGCTCCTGAAACTAACCTATTGGGCCACAGCAACAGAGCTTCAAAAATCAAATAAGGTAGCATTCAAAAGAATCAAAGTGAATCATATATCCTGTCAAAGTGAATAGAAAGAAAAAGTGTTTTTTCCCCCATTCTTTCTTGGGCACAGGGATTCTCCAGCTGTTCTCATCGACAGACAACTTCATCAGCTCTGGTGGGTGCAACGATGCCATTCTATCTGGCAAGTGCCTGTCCTCCCTTCTTCCCTGCCCTGTCTTGCATGCTTGATCCTCAGTATCCAGGCTTGAGTCTGGTTTTCTATGGACACCCAAAACCTCAACAGCAAGCCTTTCACTCCCCAGTACTCTGCCCTGGCACCAGGGTGGAGAGCCTCAGACCAGCTCCTCCTTTGCTAGACCCTGGAAAGTGGTTGGGGCGAGGAGGGAAAGAAGGGGTAAACACTGAGATTAGAGTTTGGGTGGGTTCCTGCCTCTCACCTGTCTCTATGGCCCCGCTTTCCTTCAACACACGAAGTGCTTTTGGTACACCGAGGTAGGACTGAGGATACAGGGGCGAATAAAACAAGCCCTGCCTCCCAAGTTGCCTAGACCTGGTGGAGACACACAAGCAGAGCAAGGCCTTTCCCTAGATGCATCTGGAGAATTCTGATGTTGGTCCCAGCAAGCATGTCCCTGCTCTGTGTTGGAGCACACCTGATCTGCTCTCTGGGTGATCCTAATGTATAACCCCAGTCAGACTTCCTTTTGTAGACACAGTGCTATGCTATGATGAAAGGTTGGGGCCTGGAAACCACACACCATGTTCTGGAGTCTTGGCTCTCTCTTCTTCCTGTTTAGTGGCCTTAGTCATCGATTCCACTCCCTGTGACTTGGAGTCCTTATCTGTAAAACAGATATGATGAAGTCTTAAGCCGTCCTCAGAAAAATTCAATGAGCTAAATGGCATATCACACACGCATAGTAAACTCTGATGGTTACTGTGAACCACCAGGCAAAGGAGAAAAGGTAAAAGGATGAAAGAATAAGGCGAAAGCATGGCCAGTCCTTCTGAACCAAGACAGTAGCTTGTGGGTGGAAAGATCCAGAGCAGAGCTGGGTATGAGTGGAGGTCAGAGGTGAGGGGCATGCCGGAAAAGGAGTGGTCTACCATGGTATGGCTGAAATCTCTTGGGGACAAGGGTGAAGTGGGGTAGTCATGTAGTGATAGCTTCTCCTGCCCCAGCCTTCCAGCTGGTGAGCAACAGCAAGACCTTCTATCGGGTGGAGGAGCCGCGGACCTGGAAAGAGGCCATGTGGTACTGCCAGGAGCATTACACAGACCTCGCTGACCTGCAGAGCGTGAACAGCGCAATGAACATCATGGTGGTCTACTCCTATACCAGCAGTACCCAGGCATGGATCGGCCTCTTCTACGATGTGACCATCTCTGGGCTGAGCTGGTCCAGTGGCTCCGTCTTTACCACCCCAACGTGGACTGCGCTGCCTGTCTTCCGGGATGGCCTCTGTGCTACTCTGTATTCATGGGCCATGGTCCCTGCCCTGGGGGCTGCCTCCTGTACAGCTCAGAAGCCCTTCATTTGCTATTATGGTGTGTTCAGATTAATATTCTGGGCCTGTTCTTTTCCAAGATAGTTTTGGGGAGGGGGAAAAGAAGAGAAGAGAGTGTGTGTCTAGGGGGGCATTCATGAGAGTAAGCGGATGTTCCCTCACCCTCTTCAGAGCATTATTTCCTCTGTAACATTAGCTTGTGGTCTTTCTGTACTCTTTTCCCCAGACCACACCAAGAAACTGTGTGAAAATAGAGGAAATAACATCTGGAATGTTCCATGACATTTCTTCTATCTTCAGTTAAAGTTTTGAGGAAGGAAGGAAGGAAATGGGAGAGACAGGTTGGAGAACTCATCACCTATGTAGAAATGAGAGCAGAATTCAAAGTCTCACCCCATGAAGCACGGGGTACAGTCTGTTGTCTTACTGGGGATGGCAGAAGGCACAACATTCACCCCCATGAGACCTTTTGTTCAAAGTGGTGGATAGGACCAACTCCAGACATTGTTGCTGGGGACATGGAGCCAGCTGCTGGGAAACATCCAAACTATGTGTTCCCCCGTGTCGTCTGACCCCTGGAGGCCACACCACTACTTCCACTGTCCTCTTCTTTGTCTTGTTGGTACTAAGAGGTCACATGGAAGTGCGGTTGTGGATAGGACTGTGATTTCATGGTAAAAGTGCCATCTTCTGCCTCTTGGCCAGTCAAGGCTCAGCACAATTCTATGCCATCCTAACTGCCCAGATACTGGCATGGAGGTCATTCTGTCATTTCTCTAAGTCATAGACAGACCATGCCTCTGTGAAGCCCAGAAACAGAAGCCCACAATGGCCTTGGTTTTATCTCTAGGTTCCAAGGGGATAGAAAGATTTCCAGGGATGGCCAGTAGGTTTAGTAGGAATGCCTGCAAACATCAGAGCTGTGGATATGGATTTCTTCCGGCTTCCTTTATTCTTAGAACTCAACTACAACATTCCCTGACATCACTCAGTTCTGTCCAGTTCTGCAGGTTCATTGGGAGTGCATGGGCCAAATTACAACTCAGTTCCATGAGTTTATCCTGTGGCTGCTCCCATCTGTTGTTTAAATAGTGAGTTTTAGTAGACATCAGATAACTTCCTTACAGCATACTCAGCAGATCTTCAAAGCCCTCAGAATATCATCCTTTTCATAGACAATCATGCCCTGTCGGGTCTTTTTGGCCTCGGTGCTTAGCCCTCTCCCTAGCTGTGGTGTATTGACCTATTTCTGTCCCCAGCCCACACAACTCTTTTCTTCAGTGGGATAGTGACCACTGTCCTCACACTGTTGGGACTAGGTGGTTCCTTCTCATTCTCCTCTAAAAAGCAAAGACTCTGCTTGTGTTGTTTCCAGTACTTTTCTAGGGAATAGCACCAGCCATACAGTAGGTGCTTAATCTATATTCACTAAATAAATATGGAATGGGCTAACTCACCTTAGAACTCAGCTTCTTTTGGCTCCAACCTGGTGGTTTCTGGACAGTTCTCACTCCCTAACCCATAATTTGAAATCTGCTTCTGTTATACAGATCCTGCTGTAGGACACCGCATGTCCTTGGTGTCCCCTCTTGAAGCACTGACCACTCTTCCAACAGAAGGTAACATACGTGGCTCTGTCTTCCCTTCTTCTGGGGTTTTGATTTATTTTGTCTTGGCGTTACCTCCCTGGACCAGCACGCAGGATTCAGATTACTATGGTTCCCTCTGTTCCCCCCTCTCCTGCCTGACTTGATGTTTGGCTTTGAGGTACCCAGATTGAAACCTGGAGACTGATGGATGCAATGCCTGAAGAGCATGGAGTGGAAGGGGACTAACTCCAGGTCTCACAGTAGTGTAACCAGCTGCATCTGTGCCACCTGAGTCTTCCTCAGGGAGTCAGGGGTTGGGGGCGGGTGGGGAAGACCTCTTCACAACTCTCCATCTAGAGAGGGGTATTTCTCTCAAGATTCCTGCCCCTTGGACAACACCGCGCTGGTGTTTAAAAGGAAAGTTTCTCCTTATCTGATATAGAAAAATTCTACGGGAAAAGGAACAGTCAATCCATCTATGTTTAGGGTTCGTTCTCTGGGTGTTATAGAACGTAGAGCAAAATGGCAAAGGTTTCCAAGGCAAGCAGACCTGTGCTTTAGTCTCAGCCTGACACTGAGTTTGGGCTGGATTAGCAAACTCTTTTCCTAAACTATGAAATAAGATTAATAATAGTTACTTTTCAGGATGATAGTGAACATCATGAAGTGATGTAGGCCCAAGGTACATGTCAAAGCTGGCACATATTAGGGACATAATATAGAATTTTAAAAGATTAGTTCTGGGGTTGGTAAGATGACAGTCAGTGGTAAAGGTGCTTGCTGCCAAGCCCGATGACCTGAGGTCAAGCCCTGGGACACACACAACGAAGAGAGGACTGAATCCTGCAAGTTATCTTCTGATCCTCACATGTGTGCTGTCATATACAAGTGTACATGTGTGCATACACACAATAATTAAATATGCAAAAATCCATTTAGCTAGGGAAACAGGCACATCTTAATGGACTGAGATGAGCAGGTGCATGCCAGAGAGTAGGGAGGGGCTCTGGTTTGAATGGGAGGATATGACTCCAGACTCTGCAAACAGTCTTTTCTTTATCCAAACCTCCAGGACCAATGCAGGTAGAGCTGCAGTGCCTCACATCCTTTCCAAAACTTCATTGTTAGGAATCAGAGAGGCACGGGCTTGAAGGGGCCTCTGGTGTGTGTGTGTGTGTGTGTGTGTGTGTGTTTGTGATGGGGGGCCTCTGAGAACTGAAGCAACCCAGTCTGAAGAAGGTAGATATCTGAGTGCATGAAGAGCAGATTGGATGGGCACTGCCTGCTCTGTTTCCTGCCCATCAGATAGATCTGAGCTGATGCTCCTAGGAGATCTCCCCCACCACCACTCTGTGTGTGTGTGTTGGATTACAAATGAAATGAGGCTAACTCTAAACCAAGGCTGTCTTCCTTCCATCATAGGAATGATCTACTACTATTTCCCAAATAGTGCCTACCATTCCTATTGGACAGATGAAGCAATTGAAACTTAAACTTACCTTGTAAGACTATACATCTGTAAGAAGAGCCCTCTCCTTAATGAACCCTCCACACCAGCTGTTGCCACTATGATATCTCACTTCTTCAACTTGGTAGTTTCTCTATAAAATGGTGTTTTTACCAAATCTAAAACCCGAGGATCCAGGTCAAACCAGTTCTTTCCTTAGGCAACGAAAGCTGGGATGTCAGACACCCTGGATCTCAGGCCTGTGGTCTCTATATTCTTTACTTCTAGCTACGGTTGAGATTGGTGGATGGACCTTCATTCGGATTAAACAAGCCATGTCGTGGCCCTCAGCTCTGACCTACTGTCGCAACCACTACACAGACCTGGCCGATCTGCAGAGAGTGACTGACGAGAAGGACAAAGAAAAGCTCCAGTCCATCACAAGCAATGTCGATGCCTGGATCGGCCTCTACTTCAGCGCAAAGATCAACAGTCTCACCTGGTCCAGCGACTTGGGTTCTAGCATTCCCGAGTGGCTTCAGAAAATACCTTTGTTTGGTCAGGGACTGTGTGCAGGACTTCGTATCTTTTCAAACGGCCCACCTGAGATTTATGCGCTGTTTTGTCATGAGCAGAAACCTTTTATCTGTTTCTGTGGTATGTGAGAGCCCACTTGGATCATTGAGGTTAAAATGTGTTCATTAAACCGTGGGGAATACTCGGGAGAGTCCTAAGCAAGCACCTAGAGGCTTTGAGGGCAACAGAATTCAACTACAGGCTTTGATTTGATTTCAAACAAACAAACAAAAAAACCAAAAACAACAACAACAACAAAACACACTCACACACAAAAAAAAACACCTTATAAGTGAGTTGTAGTATTTAAATCCTGGGGCTCTTCAGAGGATGGAATGAATGAACCCCATCCAGCCTCATTACATTAGCAATGAGCAACAATCATCAGACAAATAACCATGAGCCCATGCTTTAGAATCAGATAGGCTTCACCGCTTCCTAGAAGATGGGCAGAATTTGGTCCCCTTTTCTTATCTGGAAAACATACTTTACAAATCAGGATTGGGGAAATCACCCCAGAGCTGAAGGCTGAATGACAGTGAAGATCTTGACATAGAGCAAATGCCTGCTAATAGCAGCTCTGGTCACTATGAATTTGAGGGCAGCAGGGTACTCTGGATCTTGTATAAAATGTGCTTCCTACCTTATTCTTAGCTTTCAATCTCCCTCCTCCTGCCGTATTTCCATTGCGAGAGAACCCACACATCTTAGCCTTTGAAGTGCACAGTTCAGTGGTTTTTGATATTTGTATGCGTGTTCAGCCATTGCCACTGGCCATTTAATGGCATTTTCATCACCCTCCAAAGCCTGTACTTACAGTCACGCCCGACTTTCCCCTTGGCAACCCAAATGGACTTTATGTCTCTGTGGATTTGCCTATTTGTGGCTGTTTCTTTTTTTTTTTGGATTTGAAGACAAACTTGGCCCCTATCTGTGAAATAGGTGTTCCTTGATGAGCTGCTGTGAAGACTAAGGGTGAGAGGACCTATGCCAGTGATTTGTACTGTGTGCAGTAGGAACTGGACCCCTGGCTTGTTTGCTGGGATGGAGGCTGACTTCTCACAGGGTGGGTGTGACAGAGACTGCCCTTACACTCACTGTTTTCCCACAGACCCCACCATTGGCGATCGGAAGTTGGCAGAGATGCCTCTACTCACTGCTACATCCTCCCCCAGAGTGACTCACCCCTCAAAAGTTACTGCAAGGACAACTCCTAGGCCAAACACAGGTACTCTACGTCTGCTCTTAGCTGTATCTGGGCTCTTCTGGGTCTAGGAAACTAGAGAAAATAGTTGGCTTAAACAGAGAAACCTGGGGTGGAGCCCATGTGAGTGGCCTTCCCTGAGGTGCTAGTGAGCCAACAGAGAAGAGGTATGCCAGTGGTGTGGCACTCAGTCACTACTTACACCAATGAGGCTCTCTGCGCCTTCTCTTATACTGCTTGGCTAACAGTGTGAAGGTAGGAAAATGAGGAATTGGTTTCCCACAAACATCCTTCTTTGCTGGCTTCTGAGTTTGAAGTTCTAGAGGCCAGGGGGACCAGGAGAGGCCGGGCAGTCTCCTGAGTGCAGAAATAAAGGCCTGGGACACAAAGGGGCAGATGGCTAAGTGGTACTCCTGGGGAAGTCATCAGAGAGGCCTTAGAGTTTCAGCACCAGAGAAAGGAAGCCAAACAAAGGAGACCCACCAGTCCCTTCTGAGCATGCTCCTCTGTTGGGAGAGTCATGAGCTGTTAGGGTTTTGTGCTGTGGTTATAAGCTATGGCAGTTGACCAAAACCCAACAATGGGGACAGATACAATCAAGAAAACCTCAGAGCTCACTCTGATGGTGCTCACAGCCAGCCAGGCAAAGCTTGGTGTTTAGTATAGTCTGAAGCATGATGGGGACACAGAGCAGGAACTATCTAGTCACTGTAATTGCAGAAGAATTTTTGGTGAAGTGACTTCAGAAGGATAAGGTTGGCAAGTGGCTGGGTAAGGGATGGCAGGTAAGAGGAATGGCAGGGTGTTTGTGTGGAGGTGTCATCACTGGGGAGCCGGTAAAGGCATGAATTCTTTCATCTAAGAATCTGGGCTGAGCAACTGCCTTGTTTCCCTGTTAAGGCACCCACCTAATTGTCTCAGCCCACTGCTTACTTGGGTTGGTCCAAATAGGTTCAGAAGGCCCTTTCTGACCAACTCTGTCTTCAGTGGATGAATACCATTATGTGTGGTAGAAATTTGGGGCCTGAAGCTGTAATTTTCTCTCTGATCTGCCCCACTGAAATTACTAGGAGTTCCTGACCTGTGGCTATGTGATGCTGGAGAATTATCTGTATTCTATCAATCATGTATTTTAATAAAACGCTGATTGGCCAGGCAGGAAGAATAGGCAGGTCAACCAGACAGGAAGTAGAGGCAGGGCAATGAGAACAGGAGAAGGCTAGGAAAGAAGCCCATTCCTCCATTCCTGCCCAGACCACAGAGAAGCAAGATGTAATCTGCCCCCACCCCCCCACCCCCGCAGGAAAAGGTATTGAGCCACATGGCTAACACAGACAAGAATTATGGGTTACTGTAAGATGTAAGAATTAGTTAATAAGAAGACTGAGCTAATGGGCCAATCAGTTTATAACCTAATGTAGACTCTGTGTGATTTTCTTTGGGACTTGCCGGCTGTGGGGTACTGGGCAGGACAGAAACCCCAACAAACAGGCCCCCTCATGTTACAGCTATGGCCTTGAAAAAGGTTCTGCACTCAGTGCACCTCACATAAGTCTTGTCTCTTGCTATAGGGACCACCACTGGCCCCACAGATGCTTCCAAAGAGCTGGTTACAGCAACCCGGATCCCTGGGCGATTGAGTCATCAACCAATTGACGTCAGCTCTGGCACTTGTGATACAACCACTCCTGCCCCCACCACCATAGGCCTCACAACTTTCCATTCTCAAGGGATGGTCTCAAGTCCTCTGGCAACCCCGACACCTTCAGGAGGTATCTTGGTTTGAGAAAGGCTCACAGCCCACTGGTTACTGTTCAGAGTTTGTCTTTGGACCCTGAGCACCCAGGAAGCAGTTTGGATCTGGGAGAAGGGCCCAGCATACCACTTCTAACTTCTCAGGGCTTGTCCTTGGGCCTTGGGAAGTAACATAGTTCTGGAAGAAAAGTCCACGACATCACTGGTCACTGTTAGAACCACATCCTTGGATCTCATATCCCCAGACAGTATTTCAGTTCTTGGGGAAGGGCCCAGGGCTGTTGCTCAATGTTTATCTTTGGATTTTGCACCCTTGACACTAGCCCATACAGGGAGTGAATCAGTTTAACAGGAAGTGGCACTGCAGAACCTATGCACCAGGGGTCCCTAGAACCAGAGTAGGCTCATGACTACAGGGGAGGTAACCACAAGGCCCTGGCTATTCCCATGTTGGCAATATTCTCTGACTCCTTCTCATTCAGTTAGCCCTGCAGTTCAGGGGCTCTGTGGAGCTTTGCAGAGATTAAAGAAAGAGCTATGGAGGCATCTGTCTCAGGGAGCTCAGAGATTCAGAGACGGGCTCCATGTATCTGCAGCCTGAGCCAGGTTGCCAGCACTTGAGACAGCTAGGCATCTGCCAGGAACTACAGCAGGTGTTTGTGTGCTTCACTGAGGCCAGATACCCCTGCCTACAAGTTCCTCTGGGGCATCAGCAGCTAGATTCCAAGCTGCAGAATCTACACTGAGAGCTGGGTGCAAGAGTCATATGGCTAGGTATGGAAGCACTGCAAGCCTCTCCACAGGGGAATTCTGTCTGGCTAGCACCAGCTCTTAAGACCATCCTCCCTTAATCAGGTAGAACAGAGATGGGGTAAGGGAGGAAGTCTGTCAGTCAAGATTAAAATGTTGGCTTTGTAATTTACTGTGCACAGCCTTAGACAACTTTTTCCTCCCTCCCTCCCTCTTGGCTCCCCTTCTCTTTCGAGAACAGGTCTAACTTTGTAGTTCAGGCTGCCCTCCAATACACTGCAATCCTTCTGTCTCAACCTCTAAACTACTGGAATTGCATAAATGAACTACCACATCTGTCTCCTTAACTTTAACCTCATTGAATCTAATTTTTCTTATGTCTAAAACCAAGAGTACATCAGTGTGATTTGGTAACTCCCAGTTCCTGAATCTGGCAGATGATAAATGCAGTTATTACCATCTTAATCTCAACTCACTAGTGACATTGAGTGTCTTCACCTTGGTAGATATGAAGGTTCATTCTCATGTAACACATAACAGATGATAATCAATTGTGAGTATTACAGACTCTTCCAGATAGAGATTGTTGTATTTCCTTTTCTCCTTACTTTGAGTCCTGTCTTTTGAGTACCAGATGTGAACTCTGGATACTGTGTGGTTCAGGCAGGGTGAGCAGAACTTGCTTTTCCACAAAGGCAATCCTACAGAAACAGAATCAGACAACTGGGACAGCTTGTGAGTACGTGAAGGGTGAAGCAAGAGCAGAAAGTGACTCATTCTCTGCCAAAGGTGTAATGAGTATCATGGCAGTGGTATCTGGAAGTTCTTCCTTGCTGAAAGACAAGGGCTAAGACAGACATGTTAAAGTGTTAAGTTTGTCTGGGATTGCCAAGAGGTCTGATGTGGTTAGTGTACAGGTTACATTTTGGAGGAAGGAGTAACAGGGACAAGGAAAAAGAGGGACGGCCGCCAAATTCTGAAGGACTTGAACCCACAGTCAACAGAACCACCAGAAGGTTTCGGAAAATGAGCAAATGCTCGGGTCTGTGGTTAACTACAGGTGGCCACAGTGACATGGGGCCATTGCATTTGGATGCTAAAAGAAAACAGCAGAATTCAGTATATGTGTAACAAGCCTCAACAGCGAGAGAAGCAGTGGGGGTTAAAAACAATCAGGATGAAATTTACAAAGCTGCTTACAGGCATTCCCCCGCTTCTGTGTTTCTCAGTTTTACCAATTTCTTCACTTATTAAAGAAAGGCATAAGCTTTTGAATGAAGAAGAGTGGGCTGGTGGAGAAGAAGGCCCACCAGGAGAGAACAGGCTGGGTGAGTAGCTGAGGCAGGGTGAAGCGAGGAGGGACACGAAGACGGTATTTGTCGTAAGTGACGCTAGTCAAGACACACCAACACATTTAAAACAACTTCAGGCTTTGTTCATGAAACCACAGAAATAAATCCAGCCTTAAAAACTAACATGTTTTATTTTAAAATTTGTTTCTTTACCTCACAACAGTTTGGCAAAGATTTAAAGGCAGTAATAAAGAGAATGCAGGACGAACGGACATGACCAATACTGTAGGCTATAAACTGGTGCAGGCAAGGTGCGTCTGTTTCAAAATGGGCATGTCCTTTCCGACTGACATTCTACACTTAGAAACTGCTAAAGCGTACAAGGCAAACACACACGCATGGACCCCCAACACTGTTTATTGTCCTGAAAGTGAGAAGTGATCCAATGTCTACCAACAGACTGCTTAAGTCAGTCATGCCACGTTGGATGAAATACTTCACATTCTTTTTAAGAATAAGGTAGATTTTGCATTTAAAATAAAAAATTCAATCTGTGAAATATATTCTCTAGCAAACTGTCAATGTTGGTTTTCCCTAGGGCTGGGACATTTTTCTTAAATTATAGTAGTAGTCCTCTAAATAATATGATTTTTATCCCTATTTGGAGGTGGGCAATTGTGAGAGAGGAGAAACACATTTGGGGACTGAAGGCAACAGCAACTGAGGACTCCTGGTCTTCGGCTGGAACACCTAGTGTATGCCCAGAAGTTAAACTTGGTTTGGAGCACTGCCTTGGTGGGGATGTCAAAGCTGCTCTGGGCACCCTGGCGAGGGGCTGAACAGCTCACCTGGTAATAATATTAGAGCGTCAGGCTTTCTAAGTGCTACTAAAGAGAACAGGAACTGGAACTGAGGCCGAATCTCACACTATTGCTCAAGCCTTACACAGCCTGATGCTGGAGCACTTTCTGAATGGTGGGCTGGCAACTCCAGACATGGGGTAAGAGCCTGGGAGGCAAGAAAAGGACTGGCAGGAGCCAGCAACTATGCACAGCAGGGCCACCTTTCCTGTCTTCTGGCTTACAGCCAGGCACCAGTATTCAGGCACCCTGGATTTCCGGCTACATTTGCAGTAACTCCTTTATTCTTCGTTTCCTGTAGCTGTAACCAGCACAGAGCACGGAGCACATACAGGAGACATACCTACTACCACCCAAGTCCAACATGTAAGCTCACCTAAGCACCCAGAGTCTAAAGAGAAAGCAGCAGAAGGCTCAGGTAACAGCTTCTGTTTGCTAACTTCACTATCTAACAGCCCAGGGCCTAAAAATCTACAGTCCTAGCCCAGGACACCTGGGTGCCTTCTTAGGAATAACATGAAATGCTGGCATTGGGGAAGGGAAGGAAGCTGTGGGTTCCAGTGTAAGCTGTGTAACTACTGTGAGTGCAGTGAGGGAATCAAGTGTCCTCAGTTCTGTAGTTCTCATCTTCAAAAGGGGCTCAGTAAAGACGACCCTATCTCATAGGGTTGCTGTGAGCATGCGTACAAGGTACTTAGGCAAAGGAGCACGGTAAGTAGTCAAAAGCTCTGCCAGTGCATGTCCTACCACGAGGCTGTAGTTTTCGTGATCATTATGGTTGACATGTAGAAAGACTGAACCTATCTATCAGTTCAGAGAACTTCTTTGGGGGTTTTCTGGGTTGGGAGCCCAAGGGATGGTGAAATTCCAGCATGGCCAAAAGCATCTAGTAGAGAAGGGAACAGAAGATCACAGGAGAGATGGTGTCCAGGCTGTGGGGAGAGAGCTGATGCTAACCTAAAACATAGAGGTTTCTTTTGGGGTACTAGTTGGTGGTGTTAATTGTGGCTCAGCTACTTTCCTCTTTTTCTCTTTGAAATCCTCTGTCACTACGTAGCACCTATGGTATCCAAAGGGTACCTCTACCTTCCAAGGACTGGAAAGTTTAAGTAGCAAGGAGTGACATTCTTCTAAATCAGGAGACATTTTCTTTTCCAGAGCACTCCTTTGGAATCTTGAAAGCAGATTTTATCATCTCAACACTGAAGGATCCAGAAGAGATGAAAGATCAACTTTTGAGTGAGGTTAGATGTCTAACTTTTTGAATTTTGATGATTCAGGTGACAATAACACAAAGCAGTATTGTCAAAACCAATATACTAAAGCTGGGGCTGAGATGTCTCAGCTGGTGAAGTGCTTGCATGTTCTGTATGAAATTTTAGTAAACTGGCACTCGGTTGGTACTGGATGTTAGCTACTATTATCACTACAATAATTAAACTGATTACTGAACATAGTCCGATAAAACATTTCTCAAGGAATAAAGCCATCCCTAGATATGTATCTATCAAAAATCATAACTTTACAGATAAAAAGACACACTGGCATTTATTTAGCAGCTCTTTGCCACTTATTCAAAGGCCCAAAGGTAATCTATTTTAGAATTTCACAAAATCAAGTTTCTAGAAAGATCACTAGCGTTGTGTGGCCCTGCAAAGGACACGGGAAGAAAATAATTTTAAGTTTTCTATTTTTTGTTTACTGCTTAAGGTTAGAGGTATTTTCTTTGGTCCAGGCCTGGGCTTTTATGTGCTTTCTGGAGGTATAGTAATGGAAACTTTCATACTAAACTAGAAGTATTTATCTTATGCATTAAACTGGAGCCAGTGAGAAAATTGGGCTTATACTGGTAAGTCCCACCTCTTACTTAGCTTCCTCAGAATGTATCTGTTCCATTACGTCGGATGGACCTGAGGCCTTGGGTTTGGTCTCTCATGCTATGAAAAAGAAAACCAAAACAAAATGAAGGTAAAGGAACTTCAGGGGATGAGCATGACACAGTTTCTATCTCACTAATAGAAAAGGAATGCAGTTGATAATGACAAGGTATGTGTGGGGTTTATTTAAAATTACAAGTATGAAGGAAGAAAATACCTGCAGCTAACTCATCCAAACCTCAGAACCAGTGATAAAAGACAGTGTCATAGATACCACACACACTGTTCAGAGGACAATATGGAGTAATGGAACTCATGAGGCAGCCATCCGTGTGTGTGTATATGTGCACATGTATGTATGCATGTATGTATGTATGTGTATATAGATACACATACATGTTTATGTGTGTATTTAAATTTACTCAATGAGTCTGATGCTCAGTAAAGATTGGGAGCACTTAGTAATTTGGTGTTATTGATAAGATGCACACAGGTGAAGGAAGGCTAAGAAAGAAACAGGATGGATGCACAAAACGTGCATGTTAGTTATTTAGAGCTAAGTGAGTCATAGGGTCATAAGGTAGGATCAGTCGTTCCCTTTTCGTGGTGCTAGTTAGGAACTGATCCCACTGAACAATATTTCTAGCCCTACTTCTCTCTTTTTAATATTTCAGATCCAAGAAGCCTTAAAGCTTGTATTAGGTCACGAGGAATTCACATTGAAATGGGTCGGCTTCGAAGTAAACCAAAAATAGCAAATATCCGCTAATTTCCACTTTCCATTTAAAGTAGTAGTTCAGGTTGTCTTTAGTTTTGTTTGTTTTGAATTCCAAGAAGCACAAGATTAGAAATAACCTGAAGGACGCACAGAAGAAAACGACGTGTGAAATGTGCATTCCTGGGTTTCACAGGCTGAGAATGATAAACAAAGGCAGCTCCCTAACCCCAACAAGAACAACCCTAAGAACAAGCTGTGTAGGGAATATGAGGGACCATGGAGGCGCAGACAGCTGGAGGAAGCTTTCTTTCCAAGGGCGTTAACAACACAACTGACAGCAGTGCCGGTTATTTATCCTACTCATAAGTGTTTTACCTGAAACTTGTAAAATTTTAAGGCATGCTATTCCCAATGCTAAAATGTATCTTCAGAATAAGATCCCAGTGTTCCGAGTGTCCTAAATACCCAGCAGATAAGTTAGACGGTAGCACACAACACAGACGCATGTATGATAGAAGCAGTACTGTAAATACAGTAGCAACTTTAGTCTGAAATGTTTAAAGTTAAAGTTTATTTGTATTTTTTGTAGGAATATCAATAAAAGACCTCAAACGTATCTATATCTGTACATGTACAAGAACCGTCAAAAATTATTCACAGAACAAAAATAAATCTTTTTTAGAACCCAGGTAATGAAATGCAGATATGGATCACATATGGAACAATCTAAGTGCTACAAAGCACAAAAATATGGCTTTAAAAATAAAATAAAATCTTGGGTTTTGTTTTTCTATGGTGAGTTTCTTTCTTGAAATAAAAAATAAATTATTTTGAACTATCTTTGTAAAATAGTCATGTGTATTAACACACTCTTATTAAGGCCCTGGAGATGAAAAACAAAACCAAATTTGGAAGATAAATTCCTCACAGGTATGACCCAGGTAATTATGCTGCTGTTTGCTTGAGTTGATCCTAATATATCTAGAAATATCTAAGCACCAGTCAAAATTCAACCTTTACTACTTATTTTAGCTTTTTTGCAGGATAGTGGTCAGACAGTTAATTAGCATTTAACCTTTTAGTGAACTGGAAGTTGAAAATTTCCTTGAGGGTCTGAAAATGACATATCCATGCTATTTATATTCAAATGCTTGACCACACACATAGGATGGGGACCCCTAAAACGCATCTGTGGAAATGCTACCACACCAACAGTTGAGTCTGGTTTTCAGTTCTAAGCCTTCCTAGGGAACAAGGAAGGCATCTGATAAAAAAAAACAGAGTAGAAAATTAAAATGTGTGTTGAAACACGGGGTCAAAGCACTCCTGACCTCTCTGTGGGTGGCTTGCTGCATTGACCAAGGATAGCTGGGCTGCTGCTCAAACACCTGAGCACGAACTGGTGAGGAACCAAAGCTACTTTCTGTATTCTGCTCTCGGATGGCGACAGTCATCTGCTGCTCCATATTCTCTGTGCTACCAATAATGATACCTTGCTCAAGTCACTTTAACTTATATATACATATAACACATATAGTACATTTTAAAGAGAATATAATTTTATAAAATCTATAAAACAACAAAACAAAAACTGAATAAAGTTTGGGAACTAGTAGTTTCCCTAGTAGTGGATGAACATTTTTTTAAGGGATGCCTTAGAGCTGTGTGTTCTTGTAGGCATGCACAGGTTCTCTCAGGAGCTGCCTTTCCTCTTAGGAGGAGCCAGGGGATACAACTCTACTTGCTTCTTTGAATTTCTGAGGAACCAAGTTCACTGGATCATGTGCCTTCCTCAGGATTTTTCTGAAGGAAATGCACTCTCTCTGATGCAAATCCCATCACCCCATCCTTTCAAAGCTCAAGAGCTTTCCTGGACGGTCGGTGAGAGAGGGTGCTCTGTAAGAACTGGTAGCAATTATTCAAACATAAAAAACCGTGTACTTAAAAAATTTGAAACTTCAACATTACTTGCTTTTAAGAAACAAGTGTAAGTTCTTTAAGTTAATAATAATTTTAAAAGGTATCCTAGGTATGGGGTGGGAAGGTGACTTTTTACTGCTAAGGCAAGCAGGAGAGTTCACTTGAAAAAGCCAAGGGGTATAGAGCAGAATGTCCCCTGAAGTTGTTTAATCTGTAGCAGAAGGTGACTCCCTGCCCCCAAGTGACTGAAAATGAAAAACTGTGGCGTGGACTTTGGAGATGCTGAGTTTGCCAGTGACATGGCTACTCTATCTATGGTCCAGCATGGGGATCAGTCAGTCTGTTGACTGAGGATCCTGAGAAGACTGCTTCTCCTCGCTCAGTTCTTAACAGTTCTCAGGAACTGTATCTGGGGGGGAACCAGAACTAAATGTGGATGGAAGCAGAACAAACAGTAATGCAAACCCATTTGATGGTAAGTGTCATCTGGAACTTCAAACAAAACCCCTACTCCTAAACTGCTGTATCTGAGGACACAGAGGGAGCCAGGCCTCTGAAGAGCCACAGTACAAAAGCCACGGGTACAGTAAGAATAGGGAAACTACTTCTGAGATCGCGCTCGGCCCCAGTGCACACACTCGATGTTTACAACTGTCTTAGAAACCCTCACGGTTTCTTCACTCTGCAACCCCATAATAGAGGACAGGAGCAGACCAGTTCTGACCAAGTTGATGGTAAGTGAAAAGGCTAGAACAGCCATGGTAGCATAATCACCTCAGTTCCCACACCAAGTAAAAGACTACCCCAGACCCAAGCAGCAACAGGGACAGACACTGAAGTAACGCTAGTCTTATGGAAACAGGACTTTTTACCATTCTGGAAAAGTCTCGAAATCTTATTGCTCTAGTGATATAGGAGGGAAACAAGAAGTCCCTTTCCTGATCCCAGAAAGGCTGTCCTTGTTACGGGTAAAGTCTTGTCCTCTCCTGAATAAAAGCCACATAAGCACTTAACCTGAATACCAAACCCTATCCAACCCTGGGCTATTCTCACAATGTATGTGCTGATATGTTGACAAAAACAGGGATCGCAAGATGCAGCTACTTAACCCATCAGCTTTTTAAAAAATCTCACATTTCCTCCCAGTAACAAAATGATGTACCTATTTAATTAAAGAAACACCATGTAAATTAGCACCTGCTGCTGTCTTCTTCTATCCTCAAACTTGATAAGACTGCAACATTCTCTAAAGAAATATTAACTATATATAAATTAGCATTTTGAGTCAGGGTCTGAAGTAACTCAGGTTGGCCAGGAACCTCCTGCTCCTCCTGCCCCCACTCCTGGAGTGCTGGGATTGCTGGCCTGTGTGCCACCATCCTAGTTCACGTGGCGCTGGAGTTTGAACACAGGGCCTCTGGCATGCTAAGGGGGCACTCTGCCAATGGAGCTACGTCCCAGTTCAGAATAATATTTCTGATAGGTTAAAAAAATGAGTAGGCTCAAAGGATAATCTGAGATTTAGTATCTGGCAACAATGGGGCACTTCCGACCTCTAATCCTCTTCCTATTGCTGTGGTCTTCTTTCTCTCCAGTGATAATAACATGGTGGCTGGAGGGCCTCGTCATATGTCTAACGGTTCTGAGATTCAGTCTTGCAATGCATTCAGACCCCAAAGCACTAACAGTTACAGTGTTTTCATCACTACACTTATTTGAGCAGCTCTGTAATCCATAACCGGCACCTTGAGACCTTCTCAAACTCAAACAAGATGTTACCACATCATATACTTCAGGCCATTGAGACTAAGAATTACACTAGGTTCTCTATGGTACTTCTGAAGGGTTTTGAAGAGTAAAGAAAACATTGCTAAGCTACAAACAAAAAAAGATCTATGTTTACATTCCTACTTCACTCAATACAGGCCATTACTGCAGAATCAAAACCCTTTTCTCTTATGAAGTAATTTTTAACATACTGCACCTCAGCTTGGAGAGGAGATAAGACATCATAAAATACCTGCTAAGGGTCAAGAAAACACTCAAGTGGACATGAAGGCCTGCAGTGAGATGCTCCTGTTTTAGACGTTTGTCTGACACAAACAGGTTATTAGGAACAACCCCTTTTTAAATGTGGTCAGTTGAGGGCTCTGGAGAGGGTGCTGAAATGCAAGGTCAGACATAAAGGTCAACCTAAGGGTCAAGTGAGACTTGGAATGCATGCCTGGGACTTGGTGGAAAGGAGGGCTTGGTATCTATGCCTGGGCTTCGAACAGAGAGAATATGTTCTCTTGCTTTCTTATAAATATTCTACTATGTAGAAACACATACTCCATGCATATGTCTCTGTTATGTCTCCCTCTGCATCCTTTACTTAAAAAAATTCTTAAAGTTTATAACTTAAAAACAAAACAAAACATTAACTTATTTGAGAAATGCTGTTTTTTTCAACATGAAACAGTGTAGAACTTGTTTAAAGAGATTCAAGACCCTTTTAAAACATTATCTCTGTATATCTGACAGCATAAAAGGTATGAACATTTTTGATGTGCACATTGTATGTACATATGTGTGAATATATGTATATATATATATACTTATATATATAATATTTGTTTAACCTGCAGCTAACTTTCTCTACCTCTGGTAATTAAGCCTGCATTCCAGATGACGTGTCACACTCTGGAGAGAAACATGGATTTTCTGTCCTGTATTAAAGCCATTAAAGATAAGCTGGGACATTCTTGCTGAGTCTACCACGAGTGTGGAATAACAAATGGAATGTGCCATCCTCACATTCTGTTTTTTTTCTGTAGCAAGATTATCATTTTGAAAAGAAAGACAAGTTTCAGTTTTAGATTTCCTTCCCAAATTTTACGGAAGGGATAAATAGAAAGAAGCAGCAATTTAAAAGTGGTAATAAAATCCCACAGATCTGTTAGTATGGTGGATACAATCTTTATCCTAAGCAAAAATCCAACAAATAGGAAGAAAAATTGTAGTGGGAAATATTCAGAGATTCCTGCTCTGCTGTATTAGCCCTTTTCTGTGTAAAAGAAAGGGTATTTATTCAGATGGCTTACGAATGGCATACTTGAATAACCTCTCCAGTGGAGAGTAAACCCTGTTGGTGCTGGCTGCTCCCGGCATGGGGAGGCATGTGTGAAAATGAAGATGTAGAAAGAGACACAAATATTTATAGTTCTGTCAACTCTAAAGAGTAGTAAAAACAAAAAGTAGGAGTAAAAAAAAAATCAAAAATCCCATATCTAAAACAGAAAATTCCCATCTGTTATAGATGGAGGAAACAAACATACTGACAGGCAACAGAAATCATTTCTAATTCAGTTTTGGTACAATCAACCACTTCTATCCATGTCCTCTGAAATGGCGACTCTATAAATCAGATTACTGTCTGATCAGAACCATCTTGGTTAATCAGTAGCATAAATAACTGTTCTGTATGGATCTTGCTATTTTCATGTCTTCCTAATGGTAAGGGACTAGGGTGGGGCTTTTAAACTGGCAGATGAATCCCTGAAAAAAATCATTTTGACAAGGTCCTATTGCACTCCATGTGCTCCTAATCCAATACACAGAGCCTCTACCTACTAAACCGACGGGCTCATTTCTCACTCACACTTGGTTCCTACTTTTCCTCCACTAAAAACTGCAGTGCTTTCAAGAGAAAAACAATAATAAAATAGTAATAATTAAAAAGGTAATCTACATTATTAACTTCCTTTTGGTATATTACAGTGGTATTTCTGTACATGGCCCAGAACTAAGTTCCCTACGTACATAGAGACACTGGGGAAAGCATCGACATTGGGAGTCTTTGCTTTATGCCCTGAAAGACAAGGTTTCTTTCTTCATTTGAGAGTTTCTCACCAAACTGCTATTTGAAGCAACATTCTGTAAACCTGGAGGGTTAAAGAGCTGGGGACAGGAGAGCTGGGCAACTTCCTTCTGTCTCCTCCCACAGTTTGTATTCACAAAGGCCATCAGCAGCTGCTGTTTTTGAATTCACCATTCTCCGTGATGGAAAGCTTGGTGGGGTTGGTGGGAGAGATGCCATTGCGGACCTGCATGCTGTACCGCTCCTTCACTTGAGTCAGCGCACTCATCAATCTTGTGTTGGCTGAGTCGAGGGACACGATCCGCTTTTCCTACAACACACCAATCATGGCTTTATTCAGGCTGCATGGAGGAAGGCATTTGCTTTACTGAATCATCAGTTCAATACTTTCCCTCACAGCACGGTACACATGGTGCTCCCCAAACAAATGGAACGTCTCTGCCTCTTTCTGCACATTGGTTAGGTTCAGCTTCCCCTCCCCTTAATCTCTCTTTTTTTCATTTCTGCACAACAGGACTTATTACCAACAATATACTGAAGTATCACTAGGCTGTCTTATGAAAACGACACCGCGAGTTAAGCTGCCTTCATGTAGTAAGTGTTTTTGTAAAAACTGAAACATGGATATTAGGTGGCAAAGAAAGAAGCACCAGAGGTTTCATTTCACAGAAGAGAAGTGCACGTGATCCATGGGCTCACCTCCCAAAGAAGGCATAACAGTCCCACCTGGGAAGAAGTCACATTGCTCAGATTAAAGCAATACGTGGTGGCAGTTTAGAGTCTCCAACAAAGTGAGGATGCAAGAGCAAAGGGAGATAAGAGCAGCCAGAAGCTCAGACCAAGGAGTTGTTTGAATATGGGGAGGGAGATGTGGCTGAAAGGGATGCTATAAACATAACACATGAGAACAGACAGAGAACACAGGCTCCTAGACCCATTCCAGCTCAGTTACTCCGGGAAAGCTGCCCAGTAAAGGGCATGCTTTCATTTTCTCTTGAGTTTTAAAACAAACAAACAAACAAAAAAAAATCAATGCTTTAAAGACAATATTTTGGAGCTATGGGTTGTTGAGTGTCTACACATCCAGCAGAGAGAGGGGACAGAGGACAAAAAGTACAGTAGTATAAAACACTATCAGTCTCACAAGTTAGTTGAGACTTCCATCTTTAAATCATCCCAGGACTTTCTCCAACAAACACGAAGTATGTATTTTTCAGAAATAATTGCAGAGAAGGACAATCGTTATCTATACTCATAAACTGAAAAGAAAATAGCCCACGAGGATTGACCCTAACACCAAACAAAGCTCTCTTTTCTGGAAGTCTCAGAGTTTACCCAGAAAGACAGACAAGTTTAAGGCACTGTGTAACCACAGCTAAAGCCTGCTGCTGCTCCTGCTGCGAAAGCAGAAGCTACACAGGGTGCCAAACTAGCACTGCTCTGCTGGAACCACAATGCTAGGAGCAGCCTCGTCATGGCCCTGGGGGAAGTCTGGGTAGAGCCACAGCTGACTACAGCATCAAACAATACTTGCCTTTATCTATCTCTCACTTTGTTGGGAATAGGAAGGTGTTGTTATGGCAGTAAAGGTGGTGGCTACAGTTTCAAATGTGTGGAAAAACAAAAGCAACCCAACTCATTTTACTATTCATTAAAATAATTCTCATTTTTTTTTTTGCTGTAAAACTCAGGTGGTTTTTACATAGAGAATCAGTATTATTAATGATCCCCTTACTGTATAAGACTTTTTTTTTTTAAAAAAAAAGAAAGGTGACTTGTTTTAAGAACAGGAGAAACTCAAAGATTTTCAAAGCTTTTAAAAACAGTAATTACTTAAAAATTATAGCTAGTGGAATTTAGTGGGAAAGCAAATATAGCTTTTTTTTTCAAAGACAATAAGTAAGGACAGGCCAATAAAACCATAGGTAGATTCCAAATATAATGTCCTTCCTCACAGTGAGGAATGGCCCCTAAGCAGAATAAATGGGATTTAAAATTTTAATACATATTTGTTTCACTTTGATAAATTTCTTGTGTATTGTATAAGTGAAAATTTGTGCCATAACTTGTAATTTCTTAAAATAGATAAGGAAAGGTATTTCAGCATTGGGACAAGTGACAAGGCCCCAATACTAAGGGTTCATAAAAAATTAAGCATTCACAAAAACAAAGCAAGACAATCCTCCACTCCCTCAACAAATCAAACTGAGTATTAAAGAGTCAAAAAAGAGTCTGAAAAGGACTATAATTACATATTGTCTGTAAATAATAACTGATATCAAACAACCTCTCCTCCCAGACACCTGCACGTTTCCAAGCAGAGAAACTCCCTTTGCAGTCCCTCCACGTCAACTTCTCAAATAAAACAGAAATTAAAGGAAAAGCAAACAAACAACCCCTCCAAAATAAAAACAACCTCAAACAGGAAACTGGATCTTTTGAAAGTTAAATTCAGTAGGCAAAAGTTGCTATGACATTTGATTCTGCCTGGCTTAGATCACAAAGCAATCTAACATGCCTAAAAGGAAGGACTCAACACGGGAGTGCCAGGAGCTGGAATGTATAGGAGGCCAGTGCACTGGCCAGGGCTGGGAACTGCTCAGCTAGAGAACGCACAGGGATTACTTGCCTGTTTGAATTATCTCATTTCCATTTATGACCTGTAATTTAACACAGTGGAGATATCACTTGTAATAGTAACTAGGCAGCTGCTTTGGTTTTCATAGGAAGTGGCCCCTCTCTGTTCTCCATCTATTCACATGGAGAGAACAGGAGTTGCAAGACCGCATACATGAGGGTGAAAGGTACCTCTCTCTATATATTTATAAGTATATATATATTTATACATATATATGTATATATGCGTGTATATATATATATATATATATATATATATATATATGTGTGTGTGTGTGTGTGTGTGTGTGTGTGTGTGTGTGTGTGTGTAAAAATTCCTTGGTGTCATCATTGTGACCCCGGGTCTGATTTTGGTAGGTAGAATTGGTGATTTTGCCCCGCATTCTTTTGCAGTTCTGTGCATCTGTGCTTTGTAGCATGAACTGATTCAAGGAGAGGAAGAAGCTGAATTCCCCAACAAGGAAGAGAGGCTGCTGAGAGAGAATACCATTCGTGGGGTACCTGAGAGCTAGTGTTCTGATAAGTGCTAGAATTAATCCTATCACAAAGAAGTAACTGTTTCCATTGTAGAAATATGTCTTCTAATTGGCACTAAGTCATATGCTGCAGATATAAAATTATGGGTTACCTCCTAGGGAGACTATTATTTCCAAACATGTCTTTATTTAAGAAATAAAGCCAAGAGGGCTACTCTGTTCCAACAATCACCTAAGAGGTAAGACTCATTCTCACAGAAAAGAACCTGATAAAAAGTCATCTGTTACAAAGAATACCTAAGTATGTACATCTTTTGCGTTTATGATTCTATGCATCAGTAAGCCAACAGCTTGGATTGAGAAAACTTTCTTTTAAGATGTTATTATATTTTTAATTGTCTTTGGTATTTATGATTTGTGCTGTGCCTAGTGCAGTGGTTTTCAAATGTGGGCCAGTGGATTATCTGAGTATTCTTTAGAGATCTATATTAGAGGAATGTATGGTATAATAAAGCCTATGCTTTAGTGGGAAACATCACATTTAACAGACCCCAGTAAATTCTGATCCATTAGTTGAGAGGGGTGTTCACAGTTGAGTGGTTAGTGGGAGCACTGGTTTATGGAAGGTGCCCTATATGATTGGTTTATGATTGGTTTCATTAAAATAGTCCAGAGAACCAAGCCTTTTGAAAACCAAACTGCCACTGGTCAGACTGTACATTTGACTGAGAGCCAAGGATACCATTTCTTCCTCCTCTGCTCAGTGATACCATCTGGAGGATTAACTGAGAGCTTTTGACCCCTAGTCAATCAAACTCCCTTCCTGGACTTCAGTTTTAGTAACCATGACTTCCTTTTTTTTTTTTTTAAAGATTTATTTATTATGTTTACAACATTCTTCCTCCATGTATGCCCACAAGCCAGAAGAGGGTGCCAGATCTCATTACAGATGGTTGTGAGCCACCATGTGGTTGCTGGGAATTGAACTCAGGACCTCTGGAAGAGCAGCCAGTGCTCTTAACCACTGAGCCATCTCTCCAGCCCCAGTAACCATGACTTTTGCTTTATACTCAGATCAAAACTGGGGACAGGTATAGTAAAAACTTCCTAGAAGAAGTTAGTGACAGGGTTCTCCTGTCAGCTAGCATACACAGAGCCATACTATGTTGCTGGCAAGTTCCATTTGCTTAAGACTGACTGCACTATATTGGCTGAAATTTGTTCTATTTCAGCACCAAAATCTCTCTATGATTACTAATAAGGTTAACTACTCTGCCTTATACTTATATTGAGATGAGACTCCAAAGGGAACTTTTCAGTTTTTGTGATGAATTGCCTTCTTTATCTACATTATGTCTTTTAAGTTTATGGAGTGATTTTTTTTTTTAAATAGGATAATATAACAAGAAGGCCTTCCCTCACTTACCCTGGGGATACCTAGAAAGAATTAAAAAATTAAAAGAGCAAGTAACATTTCTCTGGCTCAAAAGAGGCCAAAATAGTCAGGCTTTGAGTCTAAAACATTTTGGGAGCTAGGCAGGTGAAAAAGCATCACAACTCATAACTAGCTTTTAAGTCTAGTGAGTTCCAAAAAGGATGAAGCCTGTGAAGCACTCTTCTCATGGCTATGTTCCCAGTCTGGAAAACAAACCTCATTTTACACTGACCTCATAAGGAAACTCAACTGTTGAAATACATGTTTAAGAATACTGGATGCTCTAGTATATACTGACTAGAGGTTGCTACATAAAGAATGAAGCTGAACGCTCTCATTATTATTTTATAGCTTAAAGATGAGAAATACAAACTTGGCTAGTTGTCCCTAGAGAGGTGATAACACTCAGTGTGGTTAGATGGACCACTATCAAAACTATAATCGCCTTTTGCAATTTATTTCCACTTAGGAAATAAATTTATTTCCACTTAGGAAATAAATCATTCTATAGTGATAAAGCAACAAGGAATTGGAAACATTCCCTACATCCTGGATTTTGCTCTGATCACTGATGCCCTTGTGAAGGGCTTGTAGAGGCTACCATCCCATAGGTGTGAGCTATCATAGGTTCTAATTTTATTAAGCTTTTTTTTAATATCTAAAGAAGTTCTCTAAGCATAGCATCAACAAAGAAGAGCAGCCAAGCACATTCCAAGCAGCAATGCCAAACTCTGAACCAAAAGAATAATAAGGAAAGCTATTTTCTACAACCTTATCTTTCCCTGACAAGTTCTTTACTAGGACTAGGTGTTGATGACAGTGGATGTGACTGACAAGACCGAGAAGAACACAGCCAAGCAATGGCCAGTGGAGGTCACAAGCCAGATACAATGCAGTGCACTTTTTACAGTTACCCTCTTAGAGATGTCCTCTTTTCTACAAGGAAGGAAGCCAACTTCATCACATACTAGGCTAAGATTTGTCAACTACACTAAATACATAATATTTTGCATGCTCATATTAATGCTATGTCATTAAAAAATCATTGAGGTCACATGAAAACTCATATAATATTCAAAGGATAATGTCAAGAAACTTTCAGTGTCTCATTTTCTACTGCTTTACTATTTGCGGTATTAAAAACAAGTACTTTCTACTAAGCCCAGGTCCTGCTTACCTGTGCATCAATTATTTTCTGCTTTGCATCAATAACTGCTTGCATCTCAGCATGATCCTTTTTTAATTCCTCTTCCACAGCCATTAGCCTAGAATGTGGTAGGAAGGAAGGATCAATGTTTTCAAAGGCAGAGCTAGGTAATACAGAAATTGAAAACCTTAAAACTGGTGGTTTCCAAAAGAAGACCTATTTTATTGCACTAACCTTTTTTTTCTTCTTCTCCTCTCTCATCTTCCCTGAAAGAAGACATCTTGATTCTTTTACCTGTGGCTGGGCTCCCTAACATTACATTCTCTTGAGAATAGTATTCTCATAATCATCTTCCTATTAGATCACCCCGTTGGCAAACATCTTAAAATAGCAAATGAACAATAACAAAACAAAAAGGCCATCTACTTTTTAAATTATTTATTTTAAGAAGTATCTCATGTAGCTCAGGCTAGCCTTAAACTTGCTGTGTGTAGTTGATGCTGGCCTTGAACTTTTGGTATTCCTACTTCTACCTCCTGAATGTTGGGATTATTATGGGCAAGCACCACCATGCTTGGCTGCAAACCATCTCCTCTTACTCTCCTGTTACACTGTAGCTACCGCCGTATCCTCTTCCCTTGCACAGCCATGTTTTCTACAGAATGTTTTAGTAGATCGTGGTTCTCATTTACTTCTCACATCTTAGCCCACTTATGCAAACTCCTCAGTTCTACTCCTATGGCTCTCAATATGAGGTTAGTTATTTTCAGGCCCTTTTCCTGGTCTCCCTCCCTTTTTAAAGTATTATTTATTTACTTTTAATTTAATTTACATTTCAGTCACAGTTCTTCTCACCTCTCCTCCTGCCCCCAGCTGTTCTTCTCCTATTTTATCTACAGCATGTACTGAAGCTAGTGGTTATGAATTTGAAGTCTAAGGTTTGATAACTGACTCAGATCCTAGGTCTCTACTATGTTGCTTTGGACAAGCAACTGTTGCCTGTTTCTCTATCAGTCAATAAGCAATAACAGTATCTGTTTCAGAGGCCAAGATAGAAATAAAACAAAGTATTAATTATAAAGTGCTTGGCCCACAGTGAGTGCTCTGCAAACACAGCCAATGGATCTCTTCTCACTCTCCTTTGTTGGCATCCATGACACTTTTTTGGTCCTCTGGCCCTAAAGACATTCAGTGAGACTTTGTTTTTTGACTTGTCTGGGAAAATTGAGTTAAATTTTAAAGATTTAAAAAACCCAACTTTCATCTAAAATTTCATAATAAATTACCTCCTTTTCTCCCTAATATTGTTATGGCTAAAGAAAAAGTCTATCTTATCTTCATGGTAAGTACACCAGATCTCATTTGTTTTAATAACTGAGAGTCGGAGTCATTATATTTATATTAAGTACCTCACAATAGATACACAAGGATGAAAATGGCTTTGGGGGCTGGGGTATTTTTTGAAAGTATTTGAACATTTCTCCCCACCTTGCTGTACTTAATTAGAGCCAATCAGCTACCAAGTGGTCTTCTAACCTGCTGATGATGCTCTTCATCTGGCTGTCCTTCTCCTCCTGCTGTCTGCGCAGCCTCTCCTCACTGTCCTCCAGCCGGGCCTTGTACTCCAGCAGCAGCTTCTGCATCTGCTGCTCCTGCACCAGCAGCCGGCGCTCATACTCCTCCAGCCGCCGGCTGGACACTCGCAGGCGCTCCTTCAATTTGCTAATTTCTTGTTCATACTGGCAAAGGGGAAGAGGCATGGATGACAGGAATAATACTGGCTTTGAAGTTACTGATACACTTTCTATCCAGAGAACCCCAGGTGACACGGTAGATGCTGTCTGATCTGCATGTGCTCGCTGCCGCCCAGAATATTTAAAAGTATTGGCTGGTATAAATGTTACGTTAAGTACCACTGTGGGTCTAAAACTACATTATGAATCGTAACTTGACAGTACGAATTCTACAGATTTATATACTTTTCTTCACATTAAACTACCAATTGTGGCAAGCCAAATCCAATCTGAAACGGTATTGAATAGAAGGGAGAAAGAAAAGAAAATGATTAAATAATTAAATAAATAAACGACTAAATAGAAGCCTGACAAACGACTTAAGGCAAAAGCTAGCTGTCTACAAGACTTCTACGTCATCACCTATACAGCAGGATCCTGACACTGGGCTCAATGGACAACCTTTACTCCACTAGAACTCACCCTTTAGACAATTCAGAGAACAGGCAACATTTCTGTTAAGCAACTAAGTCAGTTAATACAATTTAATGACAGAGCTGCTTTCCCCTTAATTTTAAAAGTGTCAAGTATTCAGGTCATAAGCAATTGTCTTCTGCCCTATTTTCAAGATGTGGCTTTCTATGTCTTACCTGGGAGCATCTGCTGAAATCTATCTATGTGCTCACTAGCCTTCTATAAATTCTGTAATTCAGCTGGCTACGTGGCCCTTTAATGTACTCAAGTTCCTGTGGACAGGGTCGCTAGTGCGATACAGAGGGAAACTGTTCCAGGCCAGGTGAGAAACATGAGCTTCCTTATGGGTGGGTTACCTGTACTCATCAGTAATGATAAACGTGTGTGGTGTTTGGTAAAATACAACTTACATAATAACATCTCATTTAACTGGCTTATCCACTTCACTGCTCTAAATTATGCTGGTTATTCTAGAAGGCTGAAGCAGAAAGCCTTTGGACAGTTCTGAAAGCTTAGGTTGCATCATTAGGAATAGCTTTATGTTTTTCTAACCCCCCCAAAATAATCCCTTGTCTAACTGTCAATTAAGTGTGACATTAAGATTATTGCCTCATTTTTTTCCAGATCTGTTTTTCTTAAAATAAGTAAATAAATAAATGAATAACTAAGCAAGCAAACAAATAAATATCCTTAACTTGAGAGTTGGAGACCAGAAGACTGAATTTTAAGCCAGTATAGGGGTGTGTGTGAGATTCTGTCTCAGAAAACAAACAAACCCATAGGCCTCAAAAATATTATATAAAACTCCTCAAATAACATATATCTTTTAAATAATTATCTATATAGCTAGACAGTCTTTGCAAAAAAACAAAACAAAACAAAACAAAACAAAACAAAACAAAAGAACAACTAAAATATAAATTGACTGTTCCCAAGATTTAGATTGTCTGGTCCTAAAATAAATTGTGAACTTGAAGATGGAAAGTTTACAGAAACAATAAACATTCAACTAAAATAGTGAGAAACACGTATCAGAGTTCTTTCTAAATTAATGCAGCCTACATTAAAAGTTATGTCACTCCTCCTTGACATAAGACACTACTGACTTATGATACACAGATGTGATGGTTAATACAAGATAGAGACAAAGGCCTGGGTTATATAGTGAGCCCCACGCCAAGTTTTGTTTTCTCATTTTCGTTTTTGTTTTTAATCATCTATCAGTTGTGGGGCCATTAAGTCAACAAAGACAAATTAGGTTTTACCTTCTCAGCATGCTTGGCTTCATCTTGATTTTGTTCTGTTTCTTCCACATCTTCTTCATACTGTCCATTGTTCAGAACCCAGGCTGCTGTCCTTTCTACTGGAGACATTGTGGCAGAATCCACAGGTGATTGAACCTACATCAGAGATTTTTTTATTATCATTTCCAAATACTAGTTATGCTTCAGAACGACAATGTAAGTGTTTCAGTTCTAGGTAAGAGTCTATTAATGCTAGGGCCAGGGAGTAGGGAAAGAGAATATGCATCTATATTAGGATAAACCATTCTGAATTCATACATATAACTTCCAACAAACATTCTTTTTTTTCCTTATAAAGAAAGCCTAAACGTTGCTAATTTTCTCGGCAAAACAAATGTTGTCAGCTATGAAGTTAACCCATCGAAGCTAGGATGACAGAAGACAAGAAAGGACAAGCTGAACGCTCAGATGATGGAATGTCTGTTGAACCACGGAAAACCATGGACTACAAAACTGGCTGTTGCTAAGTAAGCTCACAGATGTACATATCAGAACGCCAATTCTGAGCTTTTATATTCATCATTTAGAGAAAGAGAAGTGATGATATTTATTACTTTTCTAGAAACTGACGTCCTGGTGTGTTAGGACCGTTTAAGAGTCTGTAGGCAAGAAACGTCCTGGACCTTTTCTGTTTGTTTGTTTAGCTGTGTTGGATACAGAGCTCAGGCTTTGTATGTGCTCTAGGCAAGTGCTCTACACTAAACTATGTCTTCAGCACTACAAAGCTTGTTAGGACACAAGATCAAACTATGAATTCCAGATGGTCTAAGCCTCTAGTCAGGATAGCAAGATAAATGGCCTTTCTTATCTTTCTCAATACAAATATGCAGAGTGTTAAAAAAATTCGAGTTTTGAGCAGCAACTCTGCCACTTAGTAACTAAAACATTTAATCTCTTAAATTCTATTGTCCTCATCTATCGAGTGAAGACGCCGTCATCGTCACCATTCCCAGGCCGACCTGGTCCTCTCACAGGAACTCTGTGTGTTGGTAAAACTGCACGTCAACGTTCTTTGTAACTTAAGAGTGTTAGTTTTCTAGGCTGCCAGAGACAGGAAGAAGATGTATATATGCTATATGTGTATATGTATAAGAGTGAGGAAAAATGAAGAGGAAGTGGGGTGAGTGTATGTGCAATAGTAAGAAAAATCTGTGTGGTTATGTTAGCTTTTTAAATTAAAATGGTTTTGAGGAATAACTCTAATTTTCATAATTGAAGAGAATTTTCTCTCCCATACCAAGCTATACATTTATTTTATTTTTGTCTTTCAAGACAGGGTTTCTCTGTGTAGCTTTGGAGCCTGTTCTGGAACTCGCTCTGTAGACCAGGCTGGCTTCAAACTCAAAGATCCACCTGCTTCTGCCTCCTGAGTGCTGGATTAAAGGTGTGTGCCACCACCACCCAGCAGCCAAGCTATACTTTAAGAAACTTTATAACATTCTAGACTAGAACTCAGCTAACCTCTAAATAAAAGGGAATTTTGATGCCTGTGAAGGTTAGAAGGAAAGATGAAAAGCCTGTCTTCAGACACTTTATAAAAACACAAAGGCTACAACACAAAGGCTTTTAAAACACAAAGGCTGTCTTAAAGGTTTGAAGGAGAACTCTGCTCAGTAAGAATGACTTCACGCTTGAGGAAGGGTGAAGTTTACATAAGTACACACACACACACACACACACACACACACACACACACACTTGTATTGACTGTGTAGAAATTCCCTCTCTAAAGTCATGATTTAACATTTGTACGTTTTAGTCTTAAATTTCAGTAACTTTGTACTTAAAATTCTACTTCAACTTCTACTAAAGTTATAGAAATGCTTAATATACTTCATTTATTTATGAGCCACTTTTTGCTATATCTAACTTATTACGAACATTTATCGCTTTTAAAAATAACCTTTTAGTTACCTAAGCCGCTATGCTAAGCAATATCAGTAGAGCCATGAGTTTGATACTCTAGCAGTATGCACTTATATATTCAGATATTAAAGGTTATATTGTTCAAACATGTATCATTTACATAATTAAGTAAATACCTATTTATACTTAAATCATTTTTTAACATAATACTTTGGGAACTCTGGCCTTCTGGATGCAGTGTCACTACAAAAGGAAAGAACTATTCATATCAAAAGTTACGATATTTGAGCATGGTGGCACATGCCTCTAATTCCAGCACTGGAGAGAAATAGGCAGGGGTCTCTGTGTATTTGAGATCTGCGTGGTCTATACAGTGAGGATAGCTAAGACTACATAGAGAAAGGCCCTGACTCAAAAAACTAAAAGTTGTAAGAAAAACAAGACAGAGAGTGAAAACATTTTGTAAATTGCAAATACGTTATACACAAATACATGTGTAGTTCTCTGCATGCTGAATGCAAAGAGCACAGTGCAATGAACTGTTTCAGAGAAACGGAAATATTGGGTTTAACTTTCTCATACAAAACAAAAAGGGTAGCACTGAATCATAAAGAACTGATCGATATCAATGTTTAAAGGAGACAAATGGCTTTTTATCTTTACAATTATATTACTTCAGCACAGTTAGGGCAGATGGAAGCTGCTAGACTAGGATTTTCTATTTCACAGCAGTTTGAGATAAAGTAGCTACTTTGCAAGCTACTAATAACATTATTAAGAATTTATTAATTAAGGCAGTTATCCAATAGCTTCCTGCTTTCAATGGTTAATAAGATACTGAACAAACTTTCTTTTCCTGTCGTTTATTATGCATAACTTTATTACCTATAACTCTCCTTAGTTCTAAATGAATAGTGTGCCTAAGAACATACAGATATCACCTTGAAAAGCATATTAAAAACAAGACAGAAAAAATGTAGGTGGTCTAGGCTTGAGATGCTCTGTGAGATTTTAAAGCAAGGGTCGGTTCACACCACTAACGATGGTGGTAGCTATTGTACTTTTAGGAGGACTAACATGATACCCAGTGAACTGTGAGAGATTGGGCAATGAGAACTGGACATCTCAACTCTTCCTAATTTATTGGTTGAATTTTACTCTGGGTAAAGTGTCAAAATAAGTAAAATTGACAAGATGGATCAGATCAGTTTTATTCTGTTTATATCATTCTTTAGAAAATCATGGAAATCATGGAAAATATGGAAGTCAAAAGTAGCTACTGTACTAGAGTGGAAGAAAACAGAGGTAGTTTTGGTTCAAAAGTATTAGAATATGTGCACTACAGAAAATCTATAAACTGTCTTTTATAGCTTTTCTTTAAAAAAAATACTAATTTGGAGCTGGAGTTACAGGTTTGTGAGTTTTGTGAGCTGCCACATAGGTGTTGGGAATTCAACCCAGGACCTCTGCAGGAGCAGTGAGTGCTCCTAACCACTGAGTTATTTTTCCAGTCTTGTTATTTTTTTTCTTTTGGTCTCACACGTGCTGATATCTCCAATTATATCACCACCAAACAAACAGCACTACATCATACAATTTTTTTCAACTACAGTGACTACTTCAATGTATGAGAAATGTTCAGTAAAATTTTATATATTAACACTGAGTTTTCTTCAGAATCCACTGCACTGTTAAAAGAAGGACACTGTTCTTCCCATAGCCCTTTGGAAGGACATCAAAGGTTTTTCATTAACAATCATCCCATTTCCTTTTTATAAGCTGGATATATAACAAAGTTTATTATCCCATGGTCAAAGGAATGGAAGAGAACGGCTGGTAAGTGGTTCAATTTCATCTTGCGTAACTGTAGCCTTCGGAAGAACATTGATAGTTGCCTGACTTTCAAGAGGTCATAAATAAAAACGAAGGGTAGAAAAGACAGAAAAAGGAGGAGATTCTACAATCTCCTTTGAGTTGATGCTATGTAGGTTTCCCCTGGGAAAACAGTGCTCGAGGACAGAGAGGCCCGATACAACAGTTCTGCTGACACAACAGTTCGTCACAGCCTGGCTCTGCTGGGACAGCTGGCAACAGGCCAGCTCCTCTGCTCCTTGTGGGTCTTTACTAGATATAAACAGCACTTGGTTTCAGTTTCTTCATAGTCTGAAATAAATTCTCATAAATGAAAAACCAGTTTGGTATCAACACCAAAGTAACTAAACTCTCATGGTTCTTAAAGAGTTTGGTTAGAAGCGTTTTCAGGAAATCCAAATGTGAAAACAGAAGCACGATACTTGAAGGGTGTGTTACACGTCTATCTAAAATGGTTTTCAAATTCAAATTTCTGATATACTAAGTCTGAACAACTCAAATATTTAAAATAAGTAAAGTCTATTATTTATACAAGATACATGATATGTAAAAAAATAAGTAAGAGAAGAAATGAAAGGAAAAAAAGAAATCTAGACAGAGGTTTAATAGGTCAAAATATTCCAAATTTCTTGAGGAAGAATTATTTCTTACTAAAGTGTTTTGTTAGGATTTTCTTTCCTTCCTACTCACTATTTGAGAAGATTGAAGCCAGCCACACTGCTGACAAAGGCTCTCTATTGTGCTAAGATACAAATGGAATTTGCATGGGACACAGCCACTGATAATTATACAGAACAATCCCCACAAAGAAATTCTCTAGGTTGGGAGAAAGAAAAGAAATTCTCAACACAATTTGCAATTAAAATATGTACAGGAATTTGCCTTAAAAATGTGCTGATTACAGAGAGGACGCGTGAGATGAAAATCACAAGAAATGGAACGATAATAAAAAGAGTCACAACACATTCCAAAGAATAAGCCGTTTACTTACTGGACAGAAAAATCACTGCAGAAAATTCACAAACTTGGATAATCAAAACACTAGGTTTCGATTTCTATGATAGTGGCTGCTATCAGCATGGTCTAAATGAAGATGAATATTTTAAATTTGTGCCAAGACATTTCACTGTTGCTGTGCCCCAGTTCATGGTAGTACAGCCATTCCCTACTTCATTAACGGCTGTAATAGAAAAATTTTAAATTAAATTTGTTTTTGAAGATGATACACATCTATTGCCTCCTACTTATCTAGACAGTCTTATGTTCACTTGTGGAAGCATGTTTTGTGCTTGTGTAATAGGTGTATTTTCTATAGAAAAAATACTGTAAGTAGCAACTGATCTTAGGCAAATGCATTAAAAATTATAAGCACAAGTACTTTGTGATAGGACTACATGATGGAAGAAAGCAAAATAGGAGGCAGAAGTAACAGGAGGAAGATTAAAGCATGCTTTTGAAAGAAAAGTTTATTTAGTACAATGTGTGGGGAAGTCGGGTAGATAACAGCAAGAGTACTGCCTACCCAAAGAAGAGAATTTTGATTTTCCTTTTCCTTTCAGGACCGAACTGAATCAATGTCCTTATCAATGAGAACTTTTCTACCTCTACCTCATCCTCACTGCCCTCTAGCTGCCCTAAGCTAGAGGGAATGTTGCATTTCATCTCTAAAATTACTTAGCTCTTCATTCTTCTTCCAATAAATACTTTAGTTCTCTGAAAGTAGTTACCATCAACCAGAAGGTAGCACAGAAACATGTGATGAAAGTAAATTACAAGAAGGCTTACACAAATGAAGGTCTTTCAGCAAGAATCATGTACATTTCTGTATAAATATTTGTGTGTATATAAAAGACATGCAGGCCAGCTGTGGTGGTACCAGCCTGGGGAACCTTAGGAATAAGTAGGATGAGTATAGCTTCTGGCCAGCTTGAGCTATATACACATGGAGTATACATGATTTGTCCTTAGATAATCCTATTAGATCAATGGATCAGTACAACCTTGTGAAACATAATACACTAAAAGGAAGAACTCAACCTTGAGGAGCTTTGTTCCTCCAGAAAGAATAATCACCTGAGACATTCTTCCTTGAAAGTTGGCTTTCAGAATAAGCTTAAGCTTATTCTCAACTTCTGCATCTAAGGATTCTGCAAATGTCCAACTTTTAAAATAAATATCAATGCAAGGGCAGGGGGAAAACGTTCTGCTATAGTAATAATAGGGTAGAGCTAAATCAGGAAGTACATCCCTATAAAAATGTAGCTATATTACATAGATGAACCGAGATTTTATTATAGTCTCCCTGAGCAGTTATTTTATTCCCTAAAAGTATGTCATAGAATTCTTTTAATCATGAACGCTTTAGAATTTATACAGATAAATATGTTTAAAAAAAAATCCCAAGAGAGAGGACAGGGGCTCATCAGTCCTCACCTAAAGCTGGAGAGCTACTAACAGTCGATAGCTTCTTGAAGATTTTTCTGTTTAAAGGAATGTGTCCCCTTGTAGGCACGCTCCAGTCTAGAGGACGGCCACACCCATGAATATACAGGTAATGTTGGAAGGACATGGAAGGTAGAGGGTGAGGGGATGGGAGTGGGAGAAGAGTATCATCAAAATACATGTTCGCATGTATTAAGTTCTCAAAGAATTAATGAAAATATATACATAGTATACCCAGAAGTTCCAAAACTAGTTGAGGGGCCACGTGGGGGAATTTCAAGTGAAAGGGACAGACTTTAGGTAGTATGATGGAGGAAAGGGAAATAATGGGACAGGAAAGGTTAAATGGTGGTTGGGGTGGGAAGAGAGCACAGAGGAGGTGGTATGGATAACTAACACTAAAGACCTCTGAAAATGCCTCATGGAAACCTACTACTGAAGATGCTTACACACACACACACACACACACACACACACACACACACACACACACA